TCCAATCCTTTTTATTACTCAATACTACAGTGAGGTGTTTCTCAAAGTTGTAAATTCTTGGTATGTCATCCACTGGGAGTTAGAAAAGTGGAATTTTCTTTTTGAGTGTGTTCCAAGCCCCTGACCTGAAAATTCTCCCAGTACTGTTTCCGTCAATGACCATTCTAATCATTGTCGCATTGGCATAACTACCGACGACAATATGCAGCGGTGTTAGGTCTAGAATGACCTCCATTGCTGCTGTTGGACATGTTCTCATGTCACCTGTGATGCAGATACGTGCCAGTCTCTGTACTTTGCACAGGTTTTGCCTTGCTGTACGTTGCTCTAGTTTTGTATACTAAGCAACTGCTCCATAAGTAATCATGGGTCTTACTATCATGGTATACATCCAGCGCAAAATGTTAGGGGCGCAGCCCTACCTATTTCCCGCCAGTCTTCTGCATATCATGAGAGCCTTTGTGGCTTTGCTGGTAATGTTCTTAATATGCCTGTTCCAGAGAAGTTTACTATCCAGGGTTATTCCCAGATATTTCACTTCCTGTGATGGCAGTATTTCCTTTCCATCTAGATGGATTCTTTTCAAGTTTTTCAAACTTCGCTTTCTGGTGAATGGCACTACTGCTGTTTTATCTGAGTTAATACTCAGCCCGACAGTCCTGCACGTCCGACACAGATAAACATTAGCATTTTATATATGTAGATTTTTTATGTGGTTTATATTTTTTAATTTGAAAGTTGTTCTTTCTTAAATCTTGATTTTCCTCGGTCGTAAGTCCTGAGAAATTTCTTCGAGTATCTTAGAGGATACTCATTCCAAGTTATGGATGGAGTCTTCCAGATTCTTGAGTTCCGCTTTAAGTTGATTTACTTGGGAAGCAGAGCAAAGCCAAGTACTTGGGGTGGATTAGATACTGGAGTGGACTTGTACCAGATATGAAGCGCATTGTGATAAGTTGTCGATCTACGACCTGTCAGGACTGTTTAGCCACAGTCAGTGAAGCACAGTAGTATTCGGCAGCCGAATTCTTTGTTGCCTGCTTATTGTATAAATCGTTGCTTCTCTTTTTGTCGCGCTCGGCTGGAGCTTTCATTTATTCGAATATTATGGCACCTCTACCATTACTTATTTCTCTGCGTTTACGGTACATTTGTTCGGCGAGGTGGCGCTTTTGCCGCAACGACGAACCTACGCCGTAAATCCCGGCCGGAAATTGCCAAAGTTTTCCCAACTGTAATGATGTGTAAAAATGAGCGGACGACTGTCTCTGGTCGACGCTGAATCATTCTTATCGAACTGGAAAGGGCGATAGTTTATTTTTTCGGGACTAAGTCGCTCTGGTTAGATTATCGGTAAAAAAGACTTTTTTCTATTGTTTTTTTGTAAAAGTATTTTTAGTAAGTTTTCTTGGATTTCTTTCACGCTTCAGTTCATCTCCGAATTTAGAATTCTCTACTTTTTTTCGGAATCGTATCAGTTAGAACCGGGAGACCTTGGTAGATGTGGAAATTCTAGTTCCTTGGGAGGAACTGGTTTCTTAGTTCTAGTTCCACCAGAGGAATCATTTCTTGAACTAGGTCTTTAGTTCACAATCACTATAGTTCCCGACTAACATTGACATCCCCGTTGCTTGCTAATGGGGTTCGTTGTCAGTCAGAACTATTCCACAGCATGATCTGTATAATTTTTATAATCTACGAAATATAACAAGACGTCTAATTGCGTATGTTAAAAACATATAGGTAAGTTTTATTGCAGATAAAAAAAAATAAAAAAGAAACTCAAATCAGAGTTTAATAAACTGTATCACAAATCAATTGGAGCAAATAATACGTAAATTTTACTTAAAGCTTGTTGTTTTTGTCTAAAAATTCAGAATATCTACTTCGTTTTATAAGATATTTCTTAATTTTAGGGACCTAAAGTGAAACATTCCCATAAAATATTCAAAGGACAAACTAAAAATCAAAAACAGTATCCACGACAATTTTCTGTGGTAATTACGCCGGCTGTGGCAATAGACAAGGCCGAATCCATCATCGTCGCCTTGCATTATATCTCGGGACTGCCGACTGAATAGATTCCTGTGAACTAGTCTTTTAATTAGTTCCTCTCAGTCCTTTAGGTCCGGGACAGGTAACATACGGTTGGCACACTCCACTCTCGCCTAGCGTTGGGCTACGATCGCGCTTGTCGATCCGTATGTACGTAAACTAGTCTTTTATTTAGTTCCTCTAGTTCCTCTAGGTCCGGATCCGATAACATACGGCTGGCAGGTATCGGGCTACGATCGTGCTGGTCGATCCGTCGCCATCGCATATTATTATATATCGGTCACAGTCTCAATCCCGGAATAGGTCCTGAGGAACTGGTTCTTTGAGAAACCGGGAACTAGTTCCTTTCATTCCAGGATCGGAATAGTTCATTGGAACTAGTTCGTTCTCGAACTACACACCTCTAGACCTTGGTATTGTTTCTGCAATAGGTACTTCCCAATTTTCTTTGAAACTATGAAAATATATAAAAAAATAATATATGTTAATATTACATTTTTTTAAGGAATACTGATTAAAATTCGACCATTTTCAGATGTTTAGTATTAATACACAATATCTAAGTTTTAGAATATTTGTCTTCACTGTCTTTAAATTCGAAATTTGACAAGTGTAAAAAAAAGTTTAAATGCAAACGTAAAGTATGTATTAGAATGTCTTTCAAAAAAATATTTTAAGATCTACAGGATGGATAAAAAAGTGTGAGTTGGTCGGGATTATTTTTTTTAAAGGAACACCCTGTATATTATTTCTTTGATAGGGTAGAATTAAAAAATAAACATTTTTTTATTTAAATTATTTAAAAATTTTTAACGGTTTTGCGGATATTCGTAATATTATGGTATATTTGTAACATGTGGTGTTTTAAACAGTAATTTTTTATCAAAACTTTCTAATGATTTTTATCTAGTATTTTATCATTGAAAGAGCCATAGGTATGTTAAAAAACTATGAGTATTTTCAAAACAGCTAAAAATTTCAGAATTCTTTAGATATAAAAAAAAATTGTTATTTCTTTATTGAACAAAGAAAGAATATACAGGGTGTTCGATTTAAAAAAAAAACAAGAAAAATTATTTTATATTTTAGAAAGTTTGGCACAGAATTTTGAACACCCTGTATTGTTTAAGATTACGTTATTTATAACAAAGTAAAAAAGTACAGACCAACTATAGTAAGGACCTTCAATAGTACTTACAGTTTTAATTTTCAGGACATTTATTTTGGTGTCCTTAATATTTTTTTTTAAAAAGGTTGAAAAACATATTTAATAATATCTTAGGATTACATAGAGTGATCAGAGAGGAAACCAAAAATGCAATAATATACAGGGTGTTCCATTAAAAAAAAATATCCCGATCCACTCATACTTTTTTGGGCCACCCCGTAGAAGTCAAAATATTTTCCTGAAATACATTCTATTACGTACTTTAGGTTTGCACTTAAACAACATTCATTCCCAAAGTTTTCTGTTTTAGTCTATAATTATAATTCTAACATTATATTTTCTGAAAAGAAACTACGAAAAATATAAATATATTTATTCCTTTTTACCTGTATAATCTGGATAAGACGTGATATTGCACGAAAGCCGAGCCAGCCCTTCAGCCTGCAAGTGTCACACGATTTGGATCTCCATTAAGGTTTTTTACGTTTTTTATGCAACCACTTCAGCACGGCAAGTTGATCCTTGAAACGTAAGTGGCCTGTTTATAACCTATTTTCACTCTAAAGCAACGAAAAAAAAAAAATGTTTTTTGTTCAAAAGAAATTTAAATAAAGAATGTACCGTGCGATCTAAAAAAAACTGTGTCAAATTACCTTAGAAGAGACAATCTATTATGTCTATGTTTTAGCTGGATAAATTTTTTCTTTGAGATACTTCAGAACTTTTTATGGGAGGGAGAAATTTAATCACCTTGTATGTCACCTTGTGTCAAGGCTTTGACAAAATCAGTATCTGAGACTTTTATAGAGATTAGTTCTCCAATATCAGACGTACCAAAGTTCATGGCACGAATGGTTGTCGTCTCGGCGATCTCAGTGATGAGGTGTTCCGGTGTTTCCCCATATTCCCCACAAAATCTGCATTTGCCAATGTTTCTTAGCTTTAATTTACTGAGAAGTTCGTTGAGGAGATTTTAATAATGATTTAATAATAATATAAAAAAAATAGATAAGGCTATTAATGAAAAAGGTAGAATAGTCCAAAAACATGCTACATTTGTACTAATAAAACTAATATAACCAACAATAAAAATAAACAAAGGATGTTATCGTGGGGACTGTAATAAAGCAAAATAAAGCACTAAATCACCATAATACACCAAAACGCGCGTCCAGTGTAAAAATAAAAGTATTTTGGTGTAGTGTGGTGATTTAGTGTTTTATTTTGCTGTGTAACACCAAAGGTTCCAACCTCCAACTGTAAACTGTAATAAAAAAAGAAACGAAATTATCGTTATTATCTACAACCAAATTAACCTAACCTACAGTAAGATTAGCCATGAAAGCATGACTAAAATATGACTACCCGTAGACACTTACTTGTTTCTGCCTTCCGGCTTCATCAATACGGGAGGAATCAGCAACGATAAACTAGTGATTGTGAAAAAAAGAAAAAGGGAAGAAAATGAGGCACGAGGCACCATTTGCAATCTGGTTAAGCAGTAGCTCACAATTCGCAAGCATTGCTACCGAAAAACCGATGCGGAGGTACTCCAACATACTAAACTTCAGAAAAAAGTCGTTGATTTTTTTTCTGTCTGAGAAAGTCCTGAGAAATATTTTCAAAAGTTTTGGATCATTGGAGGATTTCCATTCCAGGTTACCAATGGAGTCTTCCAGGTGTCTGAGTTCTGCTTTAAAATGGTTTCCACTTGGATATAAGGAGAAAGTAAAGAAAATCTTGAGTGTAGAGAGAAACTAAAGAAAATTTTAAAATCTATGCTGTTTACACCTGTTTTATTATACAAATTTACAAATAATTTATAGTATTGTTACTTTGATGATATAGATCAGACCAAAATTCAATAAGTTCCTCCTCAGCGTTAGCTTCCACACTTAAACCACTATTTTGAAAATGTAAAAGATTGAATTCATTAAGAGTAGCTGGTGACCAGATAACGTTTACGTCATCTTCGCTGGGCGTTGGATTGTCGTATTTTGCGAAATTGGTCCATAGTTTTACCATTTGCCTCCAACTAATATCTTCAACACTGCCTGTTACAATTTCAGGCGTGTATGGGGTATAGAATAGGTACCCAATGTCGTCTGCATGAGATGCTCCTATTAGAAAAAAAAACATTCATAAAAACGTTGGAAACTACGATTCAGCAAAGACAATGCCATGAGCGTCATGCCACCAATAATCTCCTTTTTTTTAAAGAAATTTAAATTTCCCACTAGGGATTAAGGTGGTAGCTCTGATGTAAAAAGTGTCAAGTTACCATATTTATTTATTTATTTCCTGTCATTGTCATTGACTTTTTGGTTTAAATGAATTGTGTTGTGATATTTTAAGTTTAAAATTTTTTACTAGTAGATCTTGCAGTCGAACATTATTCTCTTTAGAACCTCTTTTAGTGTGAAGTATACAAGATAGCTCAATAGCCGTAGCAAAAAACTTGGGTAAGCGGTAGTAATGACCCATTATGTCTCTTAAGTGCTGGAGGTGAGTTTTGTTGATGTAAATAATAACTGTTTACATATTTATAATTAATCTACTTTTGGCTCCTAAAATATTTTGATTGAAATAAAATAATGTAAAACCTCTGACGAGGGGTAGGGGACTCAAAAAACTCACAATCTTTTAGGATGTTTATTTCAAAAACTGAAAAAACAAAAAATATCCTAAAAGATTGTGAGTTTTTTGAGTTCGCTACCCCTAGACAGAGGTTTTACATTGATATGTACTCACACTGGGTTGGAGAACGTTTAGTTAAAATAAAATATATAAAAGTGGGTAACACTGTGGCGGTCAAGCTTAATCACGTGACGAAAAGTTTATTTGGTATGATCTATAATAACAATAGCTTTTATACAGGATGTCTCATGTCACAGTGAGTCATACCAAATTTGTTATTTAAATAAATATAACACATTGTATGTTATTTTGTAACAATCAAATTTCCTCGCAACGACCTCTGTGTGCTAGCTCATAAAATATCGCAAATAGCTATTATTTTTGCATCATGTTTACTATAATTTAATTGTTAAATATTATTTTATTTAAATTTTACAATTATGCAACCCGATATACACCGCGCTATAGATACACAATATTGTCACTGGACCAGGCACACCAGCAGTAGTAGGCTTTTTGTCCATCTCTCTATATCTTTGATCATCACCTCCGCCACTTGTCACTGTCAGATCAAATCAGATGTTTTTGGATTTATTTATCCTTTGTTTTGGTTATTGAAATTTTATAATTATCAGATAAAATTTCGTAGCTAAATTGGTTATTTTTGATGTGGATCGCAGTGTGCAATTCGTTCTTTTAATTGTGGAATTTCTGAGTTTAGTTCGTTCATTGACCGGATATGGAATATGGCTGAGGAGAAAACATCATTTTTTATTTATGCCTTTTTGTGAGTTGGACTAGTCAAGATATATAGTTCTCTATCTATATCCTGGAGGGAGATTTCCGGTTGAAATCTGATTTTGTGAAGGAAATCGAATCCTTGCATCACTTCTTGTGTACTCCCCGACCGAGAATATCGTCGTGAAGAACTGGCTGCCGTTTCGTGAAGCATTCCCTGTTGGTGAATAGCAGGTCTTCGTAAAGAAGGATTAAGGCTTCCGAAACACATTTGGTCAGAAACGTGGTTAGATTTTGTTCAGTTTACATGGACCACCGACCAATTTCCGTAAGGGATTAAATAGCCAAATTTTTCCGACCGATATCCCGATTCCACGTGCTCAAGTAGTCCCCGAACAGTTCACAGGTATGCTATAATTCTTCTGCCTATTCTAAGTCAATGCTCAACTGATTTTTGTTCATATGTTGTCTGGTTTTCGACTTTTCCACGCCCACGTGGTGTAGAAAGATTAGTTGAGTCTTATTTGGTTGTTCGTAATTGTAGAGCAAGGAGACCGATCCAGACCGTAGTGCACAGAACAGTCCAGAATTCCATCCTGTTGCCCGTGTAGAGGTACCCGTTGGACATCATAAACCCTCGTTGAGGTAAAGTTCAGATTTGATTAGTCCTTCTTTATTACCTTTATTAACTCCTACACGTTGTGCTAGTCCTTGTACTATAATTGAGGCTCTTTTCTAAGACAACCAATATTATTTAGGGTTTTTATGTTCACCTTTTGAAGTCCTATACCTGGCTGGCATCCGTACGTCTGCTGACATCCGTGGGCTCCAGTGACAGTATACCAAGCTGCTGTGCACCGCCGCGCCGTAGCCACGCTGTAGCTATACACCGTAGCTCAGCCGGAGGAACTTCCGAGTTGTTTTCAAGTATGTCACATCGAGTAGAGTAAGACTGTTTAGATTTTAGTTAGGTTTAGATTTGCTATTTGTATTGCGCCCTTAGAGCATACTTAGTTTAAGTTAAGGGGGATGACGTCTTAGTTTTAGTATAGCTTAGACCATTTTCATTTTTCATTTATTCTTATCGATTTAAACTTTACTTCATTTCATATACATTTCATCATTTTCTTTATACATTGAACCTTTTTGATGTTTCAATAAATTGCTTAAATATTTTTAGTAGTATTATTTGCAGTCTAGTCTCATAGTTAAGTTAGAGTCACTTAAGTACAAATAGTTATAGAATATTTGAAGTTCATGATAGTTGCACTCAACAGTTCGAGGTTAGTGTTGAAGTCTACTTAATAGTTACATCTTTATTGCCGAGTTCATAGAGTATAATCTCGTGGCGCCCTTTTATTAATATCTTTGAACCCCGATCACCCGGCTGTTAAAATTAAAAAGCTAGTGGCCTCTATGCAACTCATCCTAATTAAGTAAACTTGTGTTTTATTGAACTTCAAATTAGAAAGGGCGTGGCAATTTAGTATATGGATTCTTTTTTTATATATTCTTTATATTTATATTCTATTTTTATTATTTAATGTCTCTATTTCAACATTTTTCTACAGTCTTATTGCTACTTTTTTGTTCTACAAGATGGTATTATTATTATATTTTAAAACCAATTTAATTTTATTACATCTGTTCAAAGACATGTTTAAAAAATAAAAGCTAAAAAGCGAACATTAACGAAATTTTCGGAAGTATTCGGGATTTACAAACTTTTAAGGTGGTATTTTAACCAGAATGAAAATACACAGATTTTCTGCACTAGACAACAATACATACATCTCTTCTAGTTTCCAAGAGCCTAATGATAAAGTTCGAGTCTGTACCAAAAATATTTTTATTTTTTTTTTAAATTAAATATGATTTCTTGGATCTTTTTCATACATTTTCGTGTCCAATCGAATGATATTTAACAAAGAAAGCATTCCACAAATAAATCCCAATACTAACCAGGTATATCTCTAGCACCTGCTGTAACCTTGGCATAATTCAATGACGTATCTCTCGAAAATTTGTATAAAAAGACAGGTTGAACTGATGAAAGTAAATGATTCTTTACAGTCCCAAAAATCCCAGGAATGTATCTTGTATCACTGAAAGCCTAAAAACAATAGTTTTAATCTTCCTAAAGCAATATTTATTTTTAGTTGCAATTTTCAAGTTTTTATCTCCCTAGTACCTTTATATAACTATCCCTGTCAAAGGCTTGGAAATATCTTTCTTGGTATTTCTTTACATATGCATCTTTAAGTATTGTATTTCCTCCAAAATCAATATTGTGCGGTATAAAATCTTCAACAGGTATAGATTTATTACTATATTCTCTTATGAGTTCAAACAAAATGCCTTAAAAGAAAAAAAGAGTATTATTAAACCCAAAAAGAACAAAGTTCCAGAAAAAAATGATAAACTTCTATGTTATACCTTCTCTGTCATTAAATCCCAATAGTAAAGGAATTTGATTATATTCTCCCGAAGTCAATATATCAATGACATTCCTAGATATAAATGCGTCATTTGCTGGATCTTCAATCTTTAAACCCATAACATTTGGTCCACCAGGTTTTTCAGTCGCAGATAAGATCACTTGAAGTTGAACTAACTCCGTAGCTGAAAGAGTGCTGAATAGATCGACAGCTTCATCTTCCGTTGTAATATTGTTATTGACTGAATTAGCAAGCGCGACAATATTGTGGTAACTATAGTCAGCAAAAGAGCACAAAGCAGCTCCACTTTCCATTATAGCTTTTTGAAACAATCCTCTAAAATAATACTTAATATTATTGACATATTAGATTAAGTTAACTACATTTATAAAAATTGGTATGGGTATAGATTTAGTGAATAATAAAGCTCCGATTTACAGCCTCAAGTAGCAAATAAGTAGCGAGTATAAGATATATTTAATAGGAAATTGTTAGAACGTAACTAGAAAATATTTAAATAATCCTTTTTTAACTACAATAAAACAGTTTGGTAATATAGGAGTTCTATAAATAGTATACTAGGGGCTGGCATTTCTGATCTTGGGTGCCGATTTTCGTGTGTATGAAGGTACGATCAACACGCTTAGCAAAATTATGATGTACTAAAGATGTACTGGAGACAGAAGATGTACTGAATAAAGACAGAAGGCAAGTATTTTCCCAAGCGCATGGAATCTAGTGTCAGATTAAGTAGTTATGTAATAAATATTTCGTATTTTTGCTCTCTCCGACTTACTAGATTGCCATAGCGATTCGCTCCTATACATGTAACCGCCGCGCCGACCCAAAGTTTCGCTTGCCAGCAGGGTATACAACTCTTAGAGTTTTATGCAACTACCAATGGAACACAATTCTTTTGTGATAAAGATCTAACATTGAACATCCGATATCATATGGTTTCAGTGTCCAGCGCTACACATATTCTGTGCTCTTATATGGAATGGAATCTTGGATCCTGAAACCAAAAACTATATGCAATAAAGAAAATTGAAGCCTTTGAAATATGATTACTTCGTCGGATTCTGAAGATATTTTGGACGGATAGATTTTAGTCTGAGGATATAAATTTAATATGGATCAATTTGATCCGTATTAAAAGGGAACAAGAAAGAAAGAGCTTCCAAGTATATTAAAGAAAAGATAATCCGAATACTTTGGACATATTCTCAAGAAGGACAAATACCATCTACTACACCTTATCATCAAAATTTAAATTGAAAGGAAGCGAGGTCCAGGCAGAAGACAGATATCTTGGATGAAATACATAAAATATTGGTCAGGAATGACTGTTCGAACGCTTGTCTGAACAGCTGAAACATTTCGATGTAGTTATCGAAATCTCCTGATGTTTGAATGTCTTGGTTTGTCAGCAATCTTCGTTAAGAATAGGCACCTCAAGACGAAGAATGGAAAATTAAAACAGAATGCAAAAACTATGTTGAATACGTCTCATTTATTATACACCTTTACAAATAATTTATAGTTTTGTTACTTTGATGATATAGCTCAGACCAGAATTTAATAAGTTCCTCCTCAGTATTAGCTTTCATTCTCAAACCAGTATTTTGTAAATGCAAAAGGTCAAATCCATCAAGAGTGGCAGGTTTCCAGATAATGCCTACTTCATCTTCGCAAGGTGTTGGAGTGCCATATTTTGCGAAATTGGTCCATAATTTCACCATTTCCCTCCAACTGATATCTTCGAGACTCTCTGGTTTAATTTTAGGGGTATATGGTGTATAAAAGAGATAACCGATTTCGTCTCCATGAGATGCTCCTAATGAAGAAATAATTGATTTAAAAATGCTGAAATGCTGAAAATCTTTACTATAAAAATATTATCTGAAATTTTTAAATTTCTTTATTTTATTGTATTTATATATAACTAATCAATACTTAATTAATTGTCTTATAATGTAATATAATATTATCAATTTTCAATTGAATTGGATTTTGTAAAATTAAATTCTAAAATATTTACATACTTATAAGCGAGGAATACTCACCAGGTATATCTGTAACGCCTGTTGAAACTTTGTCTAAATTCAAAGACGTGTCTTTAGCAAATTTGTATAAAAAGACAGGATTAACTGCTGTTAATAAATGATTTTTTACAGCTGCAAAGATTCCAGAGAGGTATCTTGTTTCGCCGAAAGCCTAAAAATAATAAATAATCTTTAAGCAATAATTACTCTTAGATGAAACTTTCAATTAAATATATGGCTGTTTTTGTTATTATAAAAAATTGCTAAACTTTTACATGATTAAGTTATACTGAATATTTATTTGGTATTTAAATAACTAAGTGATTAGTTCCTTAGTACCTTTATATAACCATCCCTCATGTTAAAGGTTTGAAAATATCTTTTCTGGTATTTCCTTACATACAAATCTTTGAGTGTTGTATTTCCTCCAAAATCAATATTATGTGGAATAAAATCTTCAGCAGGTATAGATTTATTATTAGATTCTCTTATTACCTCAAGCCAAATACCTAAAAAATAAACACAAACATATGTATTAGTCTAACACAATGAAAAATGCATAAAGTTCTAGAAGTTACCTTCTCTGTCATTAAACCCCAATAGTAAAGGTACTTGATTATATTCTCCCGAAGTCAATATATCAATGACGTTTCTAGATATAAACGCATCATCTGCTGGATTTTCTATGCTCAAACCTATAACACTTGGTCCACCAGGTATTCCAGTGTCAGATAAAACCACCTGAAGTTGAACAAACTCTGTAGCTGAATGAGTGGTGAACAAATCGACAGCTTCATCTTCCGTTTTAATATTGTTATCTACTGAATTTGCCAAGGCTACAATATTGTGATAACTGTTGTCAGCAAAAGAGCATAAAGCAGCTCCACTTTCCATTATAGCTTTGTGGAACAAACCTCTAAAATAATAATCGTTAATATTATTAAGATACTATAGATTCAGTTGTAGTAATACTGAATGGCTGTGTTCATTCCATCGTAGTTTTTTAAAAGCCAGTAAAATAACGGTCTATACTAACTTGTAGAACGCTTACAAAAATAGTAACTGATACGGGAACACTGGTTAAATTCAACTAAACTTCATAGTTATCGCACCAAGTATGGTGTCATCTCTTTGATGCGACGATTAAAACGCCGACAAAGCAGGGAGTGATGACTTAAAATGGGGTAAATACAACTGATATCACTATCTGTGGTAATAACAATGTCTTAGAGATGAGAAAAAAAATAAAAGAAGCAATTCGTTAGCAATTTAAAAATAAACTGTGAATAACTAAACCGCAAATGGCACAGCGATTGCATTCTTGTTATCACTTTAAGTCGAAAATTGCAAAATACAACAATATTAATATGGGTATTAATATGGATGATTTCAGTTTAGGCGATGTATGCACAGAATGGGCTAGTCCTAGTAGAATACTACTAATTCACACACTAGCGATTTTTAACTGTAATTTTTATCTGTTCATTTTATAAGGTTTTTAATCCAAATAAAATATATGTATAAGAAAATGAATCACATTCTCATAACTACTTTTTTGTTCGGCAAGATGGTGTTTATATCAGATTTTCTTTTTTTTTGTTCGAAACATTACTGTTTATTTAAAGATTAATAGGTATTCCTTACTTGGATAATGGAGACAGAACATGATAATGTACCGAAGCCGAACCTGCGCTTTCTCCGAACAAAGTTACACGGTCTGGATCTCCATTAAATTGAGCAATATTGTCTCGAACCCATTTCAAAGCAGCTACTTGATCTTTAAAACCCAAATTTCCTGGTACAGTTGATGCTTGTAGATATCCTAGGATATTAAAGGATTTACTCGTGAGAATTGTGTAAATAATGTGAGATAAAAATGTCTACCAAAAAATCCTAAACGATAGTTGATTGTAACTAGTACAATATCTTCTGTGAGAAGAAATTCAGGTCCATATGTGCTTGGTCCGCCAGATCCTGACGTAAATGAACCTCCGTGTATCCATACCATTACGTCTTTGGCTTTAGTGTTTTCTTCTGGCAACTAGAAATTTATGTACAGGGTGGTCGAAATTGGTCTGTTTTAACAGAGAAATCCTATTTCCTGACTATATAGAGCAAAATCGACATAGATGTCATGGACTCGAGTTCTGAGACACGTTTAATGGCTTAAACCGCCTGTTGATATTTTCAATGTCGGTTTTGCTTTATCTAGTCAGGAAATAGGTTTTCTCTGTTAAAACAGACCAATTTCGACCACCCTGTACACATAGACTGCAAATCATAGAGGTATACAGTACGTTGAAGATAATTGGACAAAATAGATACATTTTTTTTAAAGAGGCTATGTATTTTGTAATATACCTGGTCAAAATTTAGAGTACGTGGTTTCATATACAGGAGATCTTTTAAAACATTTAGAATTTACTGAAAAGTAGAATAAAATTCAAAAAATATTTAATTTTCGAAAAAACCTCTGTCAGAGAGTAATTTCAACATTTTTGTATGAAAACATGTGTTGTATGAAAATTAGATATTATATTTAAAGATCCTATTTTTGTACAATAAAATCGCAACTACCAAAATACCTTTTCGAAAAAAATCAATTTCCAGAAGACGCTCGTAATATTAATATACGCAAAAACCGTCTATTCGTCCGCAGGACAACCGTCTATTCCAGCCATCTTTGTATGAGTCATCTTTTACCTACTCAATTTCAAAAAAAAAGCATAAAAAATGGCCAGATCATATAAAAGCTTAAAATATAAACAGTTTTAAATTCTATGCCCGTCAATGTTTTTTTTTGGTGTACAATAGAGTTTTTTTTATTACAATTAATTGCGTTTTAATTATGTACGTACTTTTTTTTGTTTATTTTAAATGTCATCATAGTTAAATGTTATGAGTTAAATGGAACAGCCGAACATAGAAGTTTCGAATGTCGCTCCTTTTCATTTTGAACTCTCATTTTTTTGTTTATACTATTTATATTTTATTTATATCAGCGTATTATTTTTCATTTTTTCATTTGTAATATTTTGTTTAACAGTTTCATTTGGGAAATAAAAACATTTATTAATATTATTATTCAATTACTTACTATCAAAATGTAACAAAAATGCAATTTACTTTACTAATAATAATTTTCCTTAACGATACAGAAAGTATATTATTCATTTAAATATGGTGTATTATTATTAAGCAATCAAATAATTAAATTATTACATACTACTTACATTTCTAGTAAAAACGTTGAGAAAAAGACAGTCTTCGTCACCTATTACTGAGTTTGTTAAAGCATTGTATTGGGGACAAGCATTACCCTCAACAGTTGCATTCTTTACACCATCCCAGGCGACTGGAGCTTCAGCAACCTAAAGAGAAAATACCGTATAATCCAAAAAAAACGGCGTCCAGTTGTCTAGGAAATGACAATCAAAGACATTTCCCAAATAAAATCACAGCAATCTTCGTTTAATAGCCATAGCTGACGCCGTTTTTTTCGATCATATTGTATTAATGATTTCATTATGACATTAGTTTTGCGTCATATCATGGTTAAATAATGACTAGTGTTTTTTGCTTATATTTCCTGTTTTTTGCTTATGATATCTTTGTATTATAGTTAACTTCTTTAAGTTATTAGCATTAACTTTGTAAGCAACAAGCAATGCTATAAAATATCATGAGAATAATATTTGTCAAAGGTTTAAAGTTCTGTTAACTATTTTGGCTGTGACAGTTGGATTCTAATAAAAAAATAGACTAAAAAGTAAAATTTAAAGAATTATGATATTATATCTCAAATGAGATTATGACTTAACCAATATAAACCTAAAAGGATTGAGTGTCTAAAAAAATTGAAACTAAAACCGATTTTGTATAGAAATGAAAAGTGTGATAGAGATTTGGTGGTATTGATATTTTGTTAGAATGAATAATAGCATACCATTAAACGAAATTTGGGAATATCAAAAGCTAAACATAATAATATAGTAGTACAGAACAGAGGACTAAAATTAATACTGAAACAACCTAAAATGTTGACTAGAGACAAAAATAAATTTAAAAAATGTGTATAAGTAAGAACTTAACAGTTAATAGCTAATGTTTTTTAAGATAAATAAGTATACGTTTATTTTAGTTATTATTACTCTATTACCTTAAATCTTCTTGTACCATTTGGAGAAGTTGCATAAGGAACACCCAAAAAACTGTAAAACTTAGACCCATTATAATCATAACTTATAGAGCCCTGTAGGGCTCCTTGTGTAATTGTTACAAGTGGTTCTGTTTCTCCATTGGTTGCGTTTGATGCAAAGAATATAGTTATAACTAACACAAATACTTTAATGAAATACATTTTCGATTGGTTTAGTTTACCAAATATTACTTTTTATATAAAATATTTATATCTTATCTCTAGGAAAATACTAGTAAAGTATTACATTTTTTAAGTGCTTCTGAAACGTTTTAAACTTTGACCTATACCTAACGATAATTATTTTCATTGAGAATTTATTTAAATATCTACTTTAAATGAATTACAGTATAGATAAACATGGATGTTTTTTAGGTGTTCAGTCTCATATCATCATAATATATCTATAACTATCGAAACAAAAACATTTATGTATTTCTGTTGTACAAAATTAACCAGATGTTTTGATTTTCAGGTTAGTGTTTCCTTTAAAAGATTTAGTTCAAATATATTAAAAATAAAACGATATATTTACTACTAAATTTTTATTAATATCTAATCATCAATATACATTTACAAATAATTTATAGTATTTCGACTTTGATGATACAAATCAGTCCAGAAGTCAATATATCGTTTCTCTGTATTTGATTTCATTGACAGTCCGTTATTTTCGATTTGTAACAAATTCCACTGACTGAGTACGACAGGTGTCCATGTTACACCCAAATCATTTATAATTGGTGTGGGATTGCCGTATTTGGCAAAATTCGCCCATAACTTTGCCATTCTTCTCCAACTCTTATCTTCAACACTTCCAGGTTGAAAATCAGGGTTGTAGGTCGTTTTGAAGATGTATCCTAGCTCATCACCATGAGCTGCACCTAGTAGAAGAATAGGAAATATAGATGTCGGCATCAAAACAGTAAACGATTAGATTTTTACAAATTGTAAGTTTTGGGTTCGTTGAAGGACTACTAGAGCTACAATTTAAAAATATTTTTACCAGATACAGAGTGTCCCACATACGACTCAGAGTATTGTAGCTAAACGATTAGATTTTTACAAATTGTAAGTTTTGGGTTCGTTGAAGGGACTACATTACAATTTAAAAATATTTTTACCAGATACAGAGTGTCCCAAATAAATAAAAAATATCAAAGTTGTATTTTTTTAAATGGAACACCCTGTATATTATTACATTTTTAGTTTCTACGATTAAAATAAAGGTAAATTTGATTAAGGTTTATCACACTTAAACCTTACCGTTTTTGAAATATTTTCAATTTTGTGAAATTGCAACAAAAATTTTAAGGCTTCATTTCTCCAAGGGTATCAAAGTTTTTAATACTAAATATTTACTGAAGTTTATTTATTGATTATATATCAGTTATTACGTTGCAATAATAAAAATAATACTACTTCATACAGAGTGTCTAAAAATTTATTTGAAATAATTTCCAGCTTTAAACGGCAATAACTTGTTTAATTTAAATAGAACGCCCTGTATATTTTAGGAGAATCAGATGCATAATTTAATTGTCTATCAAATTGTATTATACCATTTCTTACCTATCCCTTCAAGTTTTCGTAGAAAATGCATTTTCTTATAATTTAGACCTCATTTATCAATATACCCATGGAATATTGACATTTTAGATTGATTTTAAAGCAACATATGTACAAAACGTACAGGCTAGTAATATTATCGTTTTTAGCAAAACGATAATATTACCAGCCCATTTGTATGCAAGAAGAAAACTATTTAAATCTTTATAGAAGAGTATACCATTAATTAAATATACCACAATTATTTCCGCCCAAATACTGATTAATTACATACTTAATTGTGTTCGTTAATAAATTATTCTGAATAAATGTGAATTTGAATCAGAAATGATTATAATAATAAGTTATGAAAATGAACGTCTCTGTTGTTATGAATAAGCATTTGTGAAAAAATGAAATATCATTTTTAAGGTGTTACTTTTTACCATAGTGTCTAATACACATACAAAATTCAGTTTTTTAGTATTTGGAGCAATTATTATTAGTCAACGCAAACAGTCAATTAATGTAGTTTGAATACTGGAATCATATTAATTGGTCCTCTTTAACAATAAACAGTTTTTTTTTATTTTTAATGAAATAAACAAATTATATCGACAATATTAGTATCTGTACTCTTTAGAAATTTGATACATCTTTAAAAATAAACTAAAATGTCAGTATTCCATGGGTATATTGATAAATGAGTTCTAAATTACAACAAAATGCATTTTCTATGGAAACTTGAAGAGATAGGTAAAAATGGTGTAATACAATTTGATAGACAATTAAATTATGCATCTGATTCTCATGAAATATACAGGGTGTTCCATTTAAATTAAACAAGTTATTGCCGTTTAAAGCTAGTAATTATTTAAAATAAATTTTTAGACACTCTGTAGTATAATTTTTATTATTGCAAGACACAATTCAGTAAATATAAATACTTGAGTACAATATTTGGTTTTAAAAACTTAAATACGCTTAGAGAAATGAAGTATTAAAATTATTACTGTATTTTGACAAAAACCAAAATATTTCAAAAACGGTAAGGTTTAAGTGTGATAAACCTTTCAAAATTACCTTTATTTTAATCGTAGAAACTAAAAATGTAATAATATACAGGGTGTTCCATTTAAAAAAATACAACTGTGATATTTTTTATTTATTTGGGACACTCTGTATCTTGTAAAAATATTTTTAAATTGTAGCTCTAATAGTCCTTCAACGAACCCAAAACTTACAATTTGTAAAAATCTAATCGTTTCGCTACAATACTCCGTGTCGTATGTGGTGAACAACCTTGTATAGTTTGACTGTAGATCTCAGTCATTTCCTGTAATTACTGAATATTTTAGTAAAACAACGTAATTAATTAAATTATTTAAGTTAAGCTTCATTCAGAACCTCCCAATTAGTGGAATAAATTAGGGGTTTCAATTACACTTTATACTTTTTAGTTTACGATCATTCACAATGTTTAAAAAACACAATTAAAATTAATAAAATATCCTAGCAACAGCTTGCCGTAGTCTGTTGTATCCATAAAGAAAGCATAATATCTAGCTTATAAAACAATAAACTTTTGATTTCTAACCAAAATTTCTCTTGACGGGTGATAATCAAAGGCCAAAATGATATTCCTCGCACATTTTGATGTATAATTAGTGGAAAAGTCAAAAGTTTGTTAACTTTTTCCACTAATTGAAAATTATTACCACTAAATTATTACGTTCTGAATGCTTACATTAAAATTAGGTGAACAAACTTCTACGACTAATTGAAACTACTAATTTATTACACTGATTTCGAGGTTCAGAATGAAGCTTTACTTTGTTTGCCTGTTTTAGTCGATCATTGAATTTAAGACAGTGCTGCCTTTTTGCATCAATTGAACAGTTGAATACGATGCAATAAAAGCAGTTGAATACAAACTGAAGATTTACGCTCTTTGCCGGGAATCAGTGAAACGACTAAACATTTCATAAAATGACGGAAATCAGTATATTGACGCCGATATTAACAACGTGGTTCAATTTCTTGTACTGAGAGTATCTGTAGAAAATTTATTTTATAACGTAAATTTTGTTTGAACGTTTTATTTTTGTGTTTTCTTCATATTCAATGTTTTAATAAATTAAATAATTATTATAGTTTAATTAAATGTCCATACCTGGAATATTAGTGGCATTTATAGCAACTTTTATATAGTTCAGTCCCGTATCACCAGCGAATTTGTATAGAAAAACTGGCTTGTTAGATGTCTGTATGTGATTTTTGACTGATCCAAATATACCTGCTATAAACATGGAGTCTGAGTATGCCTAAAAATAAATAAAACGAACACTATTATTCTGTTCAAGTAGATTTTTGATATAGCTACAAGCTCCTTGATAATAATGTTAGTCCTAACTTACGAAAAGCAGATAATATTGTGCCTGGAAGACGTTTTTCAAGTATTGAATAATAGACTAGAGATGTGGGCCCTGTCATAAAAACTGGCATATAGTTCAAAACAGACATAAAAAGTAAAAATTTATCTCCGCGATTTGTTAGTATAAAAATATCTATATTCGAAAATTTAGAAGTTTTTTAAACATCAATCGTTTTGTTTTGTATAGATACAGTTTGATAAATATGTTATAACTAGCGTGTACCCCCGCGACTTCGTTCGCGTCGAATTAATCATTTGTAATGGTGATGATAAAGCAAAGCAAGGATTTCCATTAACATACCAACTGGATAAATTTTTCTCACATTTATGTCAGCATGAAACAAACCAATATGGCGATATTATTATATAACTTGGTAATATTTGAGGGGTAGTTTCATCTCATTGGAATTTGACTTTCGAAAAATCCGTTTGCAAAAATAAGCTTCTTACGTCAAGCAGTTTAAGCAGAATCGTGGTTAATCAGTTACCCAACTTTTTGGAACACCCTGTATGATTTTTTGAAAAAATTCAAAATATGTAAAAAAACAAAATAAATTAAGTGTGTCCAAGCGTTTTCCCGAAAGATTAACCGTTTTTTAAATAACAAATATATAAATAATAAATATATATATTGTAATATTTGAGGGGCGTTTTCACCCTCTTGGAATTTGAAATTCGAGAAACCCCTCCTTATCGAACCTCTACACCCCACAGTCAATCCGTTTGCCAAAAATCAGCTCTAAACGTCAAACACTTTAAGCAGAATTGTGATTACTCAATGGTCATATTTTATGAAACACCCTGTATAAATTTTTAAAAAATCTTAAAATATGTAAAACAACAAAATAAAATAAACGTGTTTAAGAGTTTTTCCGAAAAACTCACCGGTTTTTAAATAAAAAATATTCTAATATTTGTGGGGTGGTTTCACCCCCTTAGAATTCGAGTTTCGAAAAATCCCTTCTTATCGAACGTCAACACCCTGAAGTCAATCCGTTTTCCAAAAATCAGCTTTTTACGTCAAGCGCTTTAAGCAGGATCGTGATTAATCAATGGCCAGATTTTTCGAAACACCCTGTATACGTTTTTAAAAAATCCCAAAATATGTAAAAAAAACAAAATAAAATATACGTGTTTAAGCGTTTTTTCGGAAACTTTACCGTTTTTAAATAAAGATAATATTGTGCCTGGAAGACGTTTTCAAGTATTGAATAATAGACTAGAGATGTGGGCTCTGTCATAAAAACTGGTATATAGTTCAAACAGATTGTAAAAAGTAAGGGGTGGTTTCACCCCTTGATTTGTTAGTATAAAAATATCTATATTCAAAAATTTAGAAGTTTTTAAACATCAATCGTTTTGTTTTGTATAGATACAGTTTGATAAATATGTTATAATTAATATTGATTTTTTTGGACTTGGACCAATTACCATATAAATATACAGGGTTGTTCACCACATACGACACGGAGTATTGTAGCTAAACGATGAGATTTTTACAAATTGTAAGTTTGGGGTTCGTTGAAGGACTGTTAGAGCTACAATTTAAAAATATTTTTACAAGATACAGAGTGTCCCAAATAAATAAAAAATATCAAAGATGTATTTTTTTAAATGGAACACCCTGTATATTATTACATTTTTAGTTTCTACGATTAAAATAAAGGTAAATTTGATTAAGGTTTATTATACTTAAACATTACGTTTTTGAAATATTTTCAATTTTGTGAAATTGCAGTAAAAATTTTAAAGCTTTATTTCTCCAAGGGTATCAATGTTTTTAATACTAAATATTTAATGAAGTTTATTTATTGATCAGTTATTGTGTTGCAATAATAAAAATAATACTACTTTATAGAGAGTGTCTAAAAATTTACTTTAAATAATTATTAACTTCAAACGGCAACAACTTCTTTAATTTAAATAGAATGCCCTGTATATTTTAGGAGAATCAGATGCACAATTTAATTGTCTATCAAATTGTATTATACCTTTTCTTACCTATCCTTCAAGTTTTCGTAGAAAATGCATTTTCTTATAATTTAGACCTCATTTATCAATATACCCATGGAATATTGACATTTTAGATTGTTTTTAAAGCAACAAATGTACAAAATGTACAGACTAGTAATATTATCGTTTTTAGCAAAACGATAATATTACTAGCCCATTTCATTATGCAAAAAAAAACTATTTAAATCTTTATAAAAGAGTATACCATTAATTAAATATAACACCATTATTTCCGCCCATATACTAATTAATTACATACTTAATTCTGTTCGTTAATAAATTATTATAAAATGTGGATTTGAGTCAGAAATCAATATAATAATAAGTTATAAATTAAAGTCTCTGTTGTTATAAATAAGCATTTATTAAAAAATGAAATATCATTTTTAAGGTGTTACTTTTTATCACACTGTCTAATGCCCATACAAAATTCAGTTTTTTAGTATTTGGAGCAATTATTATTAATCAATGCAAACAGTCAGTTAATGTAGTTTGAATACTGGATCATATTAATTGGTCCTCTTTAACAAATATTTGAACAGTTTTTTTTTATTTTTTAATGAAATAAACGAATTATATCGACAATATTAGTATCTGTACTCTTTAAAAATTTGATACATCTTTAAAAATAATCTAAAATGTCAATAGTCCATGGATATATTGATAAATAAGTTCTAAATTACAAGAAAATAAATTTTCTACGGAAACTTAAAGAGATAGGTAAAAAATGGTATAATATAATTTGATAGACAATTAAATTGTGCATCTGATTCTCGTAAAATATACAGGGTGTTCCATTTAAATTAAACAAGTTATTGCCGTTTGAATTTAATAATTATTTAAAATAAATTTTTAGACACTCTGTATAAGGTAGTATTATTTTTATTATTGCAACACAATAACTGATCAGTAAATAAACTATAGTAAATATTTAGTATTAAAAACTTTGATACCCTTGGAGAAATGAAGCCTTAAAATTTTTACTGCAATTTCACAAAATTGAAAATATTTCAAAAACGGTAAGGTTTAAGTATAATAAATCTTAATCAAATTTACCTTTATTTTAATCGTAGAAACTAAAAATGTAATAATATACAGGGTGTTCCATTTAAAAAAATACAACTTTGATATTTTTTATTTATTTGGGACACTCTGTATCTTGTAAAAATATTTTTAAATTGTAGCTCTAATAGTCCTTCAACGAACCCCAAACTTACAATTTGTAAAAATCTCATCGTTTAGCTACAATACTCATATGTGGTGAACAACCCTGTATATTAGTATAGATTAATATTGATTTTTTTGGACTTGGACCAATTACCATATAAATATATTTGTACATTGCTTCTATCGTATTAGCAGTTTTATCCAAGTCGAGTTGGAAGGCTTAGTACCATCACCATCCAAGTAAATTGGCCGCCAGTCTACTTACTTAAGACAGTAGTGTATTTTGATACATTTTATTAGCTTTATATTAAAGGAAAAAGAAAAGAGCACATATAATATGGGTTTACCATGTAAACATATGTAAAAGTATGAGTTTCAAGAAGAAATCCAGATGAGACACCAAACGAGATGATAATACAGATGCCGAGGGGTGTCTCACTTGGGTAAAAAATGTACATGTATTGCCAAAATATTATTTTACTACCAAGCGACTGCCAATGACTACGAAGTAGACTGCCTATGTCTGCCATAAAACAAATAGATAAATAGTCGACTAAATAGACAAAAAAATAATCGACTGATGCCAAGACTATCAGCCACTGCCAAGAAAATGTACATGTAATTCCAACAATGAAATACCGTTACGTTTTACCTCGTAAAAAACGTAAAAATAATTTACGTTTACCTCGATTATTTTAAAATAAACGTTAATATATTTAGCCAGTAACCTGAATTAAGTTTTTGAAGACACAATGACAATTAAGAAGTCTCTTACCCGTATATAGTTATCTCTGTCAGGCGGGTTGAGATAGAAATTTCTGAATTTCTCAATATAAATTTGTTTCAGAGTTTCATTGCCAAAAAAGTCTACGTTGTGTGGTATGAAATTTATAGCTGTCACATTCTCGTTGTTTCTTTCCCGAAACACTTCATCCAGAATACCTAAAAGATCATTATTTTTCTTAAATACTAAATTTTCTTTCTGTGGGTTACTGCTAGTGCCACAGATTATTTATAACCAGCCTGCCACCTAACGATAATTTGCACAAGATATTCGAATATCTACCTAAAAACTACTCTTATTTTATGATATGAAATAAGTCGGGTTCTGAACACTATTTAAATTTTGTTTAAAAAAAAACAACAACCGATGTCACAACCGATGAACAGGCGTGGTAGATAGCCAACTGGTAGTGAATATGCTATGCTACTACTATTTTTTACTCAGTTCTACCTATTTGTTTAAGTTTTTTTTTACCTTCTCTGTCATTAAATCCTAATAGCATTGGTACTTTACTATATTCCCCTGACATAATTATATCAATTATATTCCTAGAAATAAAGGCATCAGGTGAAGGTTTCTCAATCTTTAAAGGAAAAACATATGGTCCGCCAGGACTTCGAACACTGGTCACAGTATTCTGAAGATTGAGCAAATCGGCAGAAGGAAGGTTCCTGAAGAATTCAGTAGCTTGCTCTTCAGTGGCGATGCTTGGGTCCACAGAATTTGCTATTTTTACCACATCGTGATAACTGTAATCACCATAAGGACATAACGCAGCTCCACTTTGTAAGATTGCTCTGTGAAATAATCCTCTAAAACAAAAACAAAAAATTAAGTAAAGATGGAGTCTTTAAAAATAGTCGAATCGTTCCCTACAACAATCACATATCTTCTTTTAACAGTACATAAGTATATTATTGCAGCCATTTCTTCAATTATTACTGTATAATATGTTCTTAAGACTGTATATGACTGTTCTTATTACTACGTATATATGTTCTTAATTAAGATCTCTAAGGAGCTTAACTTGTCAGTGGCTAGAACTGTTTATTATTCACTTTTTGAGTCGCACCTCAGTAATGCCCTTCCATTCTGGGGTACGTGTTGTGCGACTCAATTTGACCGCATTTTCAAGCTCCAGAAGAGAGCTGTTCGATATTCACTGGGACTAAACAGCAGAACTCATTGCCAGGACTTTTTTAAAAAATTAAAAATATTAACTCTTCCTTCCTTATTTATATTTGAATCCGTTTGCCTAATACGTAAGCATGTATCAGCTTCTCAAGAAAGGCCATCTCACACTTATCCACCCAGGAACGCGGAGCAAGATCTTTATCTACCTACCCCACGCTCAGAGTTAGTTATAAGTTCAATATTATACAACTCGAAAAAATGCACACCTGCCATTTGAAATCAAATCCATATCATCATTTTTTTCATTTCGCAAAGAATTGAAATCTTATTTACTAGAAAAGGCTTTCTACGCCGTAAATGACTTATATTTTGATAATCGAATTTGATCTTGTAAACACTGGTCTAATATTTGCTATTACTATATCTACTATAAACTTACTAAATATTTTTGAATGTTATTTTTATTTTTTTATTCTTTGACATTCTAAACATTTATAAATGTTTATTTTAAACAATAAGACTGACAATGTAATTTGTATGCTTGTTTTGTATTCTCTTTTGTTTGTTTACTTTACCTTTAATAAAGGCATTTATTTTATTTATTAAAAAAATTATCAATTACAAATTATTAACACTAAAAATACCTCGACAAAGGAGACAAAATATGATAGTGGACTGCTACGGCTCCTGCACTCTCCCCAAATATTGTCACCTGCCTTGGATCTCCATTAAATTTCTTAATATTGTCTCTGACCCATTTTAAAGCGAGAACTTGATCCTTAAACCCCAAATTACCCGGTATACCCTTTGCTTGAATAAATCCTAATTACAGAAAAAAAATCAGTTATTTAAAAATATTAAGAATCAAAAATTGCAAACCTAGAAATCCCAAACGATAGTTTATGGCTACTAAGACTATGTCTTGAGTGAGGAGAAAATCAGGACCATAGAATGTCCCACCATCACCGGAAATGGAAGAGCCTCCATGGATCCAAAACATGACAGGCTTCAGCTTGGTTCCTGATTTTGGTAACTAAAACAGCATTAAAAGTATTGGTAAGCCATATAGACATAATTATTTATTCATTTTTATAATCAGCTATCATTTTTATGTATTACATATTGTTTGTAACAGCATTAAATATTTTGGTGTTACTGAAGAAAATTTTTACTTTAACCATAATACCTTTTTTATGTTAAATCTGGATTCATTCTTCATTCTGACATATTTTCCAACCAGCCTTTTAGATGATTAATAAATTTATCTAAGAATATGACTAAGAGTACTCTAACTACGAACCCTCTAAATATAAAAACAATAACTCTAAAGGAATTAATATTACGTTAAAAAGTAAATTTTTGAAAACTCGACAGTGTTATTAGTCAACATTTTGATAGTCTTAGCAGCGTTTTTTCTCTTTTGAAGAAAGGCATTTTTAGAAAAGCAATCAAGAGATGAAAAAATGCTGATATAATAATATTTTGATGTTTAAACTATATCTTTAAAAGCAACTTGTTTTCCAAAGCCTACCATGAATTCCCTGAGGCGTCGTTTCTTGTTCACTGTCATTGATATCTTAATTAATAGATATTAACAGTAATATGGTATTCTGGTACGTAGTACCTAGTATTATGGTATTCTGAACCGTTGTCAATTTTTTAAATAAAATAATATTTTTTGTCTTATTTTTTATTAGAATGATCATAATCCAGAGGGCTAGTGATACCTTGTTAGAAAAATAAGGTAATTAAGGGCTTAATTTTTCGTATTTATTGTAAATTTGTTAATAACTTTGGTTTGAAAAAAGCCATGAAAATGCGGTTTTCGCTAACTTTTTAAGCTTTTATAACTCTTTAGTATAAGCTGGAATTACATATACTCTCGTATTTAATGTTTTTGAACAAACGCATAATATTTGTTAAATTGTAAAACAGCGCCCCCTAGCGTCTATGGTCAAAAGCTTATTATTATTGTTTATACGGTACAATATAGGGTAAGCAATGCCCTTTTAAACGAGCCCCCGTTTATTGGATTCCAATCATCCAGTCCAGAGTTATTAATATTTAAATAAAAGCAGATCTAACATTCCCGCACCACTTTATTTGGCAGATAGGGGAAAATAGTCCTAACGAAAAATATTCAAAAGTTACTGAAGATTATGTAGTTGTTATTTAATGGTTCACCTTATCTAGGAAAAATTTTGTAAAAATTTAATTTTCTCATTTTTTATAGCGGTTACGCCCTCTAGCGGCCGTTCTACAAAATTGAAAATAATTTGCAACAATATCTCCTAGCATTTTTAGTTACAAATACTTTTCTCCACAGACGATACGGCTAATACTTTCCGAGATACACCCGAGAGCTATTCTTAATGAGACACCCTGTACTACCAGTCAAGACCTATGCACCCATGACAAGACCTATGCATGCAAGATTAGTGTTGATATGACAAAAGACCCAGGTAGTAGATGTCATCCGCAGAATCAAACCAATCAAGTGGCAATGGGCAGTACACATGACAAGAAATACTTGAAGACATCAGACGGGTCACAAAAATTACAGTATTTTACCCACGGTTAACTGAGACCTAGAAAAAGACCAAACCTAAGATGGGACCATGATATTAAGAAATTAACATTGATAACTTGGACCCGCGCCCGCGTAGCCATTCATAGACAACAATGTGCCTAATTAAATAGAGATTATATAAATATGTCAGGAAGGCTACACCATAATTGGAAATGGTTGAAATGAGCTGGCAGTGTGTACATAAAAAATTCTTAACATGGCGATGATGTTGATGATATACAATATTACTATTAAGCCACGATCAACTTTATAAAGTATACTTATAATTTTATTATAAAGATAATATGACTTTAGGTACCTAGATAGACTTAACTGTATCGCAGTAAGTAGATTTTCTCTTTTTTTTTGTTGCTGTTAGATTATTTAATAAGAAACTAACTTTACCTCCCAACCAACATTTTTGGAATATCCAAACTTTGCGTTAATTTAAACAAAGGGTTAATGCAAAATGTGCTAAACTTATTTTACAGTATCATTTTGAATGCAAACACAATCTTTGTTTGGAGTACACTTTACACATTAAATTAGCCTATATTTAGGGACGAAGTTCTACGTACTTAGAAGAATATAGAAAGTTAAGAACAAACTACAAGCGGCGCCTTTAAGTTGGTTTATAAACTTGAGACAGTTATTTGAAAATTATACACTTGAACCAGAATAGACCAAAATTGTTTCTTTAGAAATACACAATAGTTCCAGTAAATAACTAAATTCTATTAAGCAATCTTAAAGACAAAACACCTTTTATCGGAAGGCATCTAATAAAATGAAAAAATTATAACAAAAAAATATGTTGGGAAACAATGAAAAAGCACACGATATATTCGTAGCTATAAAAAGAGTGAACACTCCACTAACTCGACCAGAACCGTTCTGCTTCCCAAATGGTAAACCAATTTGTAGCGAAAGTCAGGAACCTGGAAGACTCCATCCGTAACCTGGAGTGGTAATCATCCAACGGTCTAAGACACTCGAAGGAATTTCCCAGAACTTGCAAAAATAGGAATCATACCCAAGTAGCATTTTCACGACCATATGTTTACTAAACACAACGTTGGATTAGTTACAAAAATAGTTAGCTCCGTACCTTGGGTATTAAAATAAATGTAAACGTTGTGCCGACGTTGAACTAGTACTACAACAAAGTAAAAGCTTCTGCGACGTCGAATAAACGTTGTCTTGTAACCTTTTTTGCTTAAGTGATCTATAAGTGATTCAGACAACGTAGTTACAATGTTGGGCAATAAAGAGTTTTCCAACGTCACTTTCAGGACCTATTCCAACATTATGCTTTACTAATCGTCTGTTATACTAATTCCAACGTTGTTTAGATTTCCTTATTCTTACGTTGGTAGGACGTCGAGCCACTACCTTTTTGCAACTGTATTGAACCATAACCTTAAATCTTAAATTTTCACTTCATTGTTCTGTTCAGTCAGACAGTTCAGTGCTGTTTTTGTTTTTATAAAAAAAAACTTAATTAAAATGGGACATAAGAAAGGTACATATAAAACTAAATTTAAATATACATCGACATATTACCGATACTTTATCCACTCCTTCGTTTATTTAGAATATAGAGGGCGGCACAAGCTAGACTCTAGGATGACTAAATTAGGCAATCTTGCGACTAGTATACTACCTGTTAAGGCTGAACTGCGACTTTATTAGTCCAGGGCATGCGACTACTCGAACTACTCCATCTTAATCTCCAAAACAACAAAGTGAAAGCCGCCATGTTGTTGAATAAGAAAATGTTTGGTTCCTAAAATAGCAATTCCTGCTTTTTGTATAGATTAACTTGAAATATTTGACCCTAAACAACACGCGGAAACAATTTTTTCGACTGCGAATAACTTATTCTCATTTTACTAAAAAAAATTCAAGAAATTTTTTAAAACTTCTTTAATTTTAAGGCCCATTAGTATTTTTCAAAGTAGAAGCAATACATTTATCAATAAAGTTGTTTGCGTTTAACTTTTTTGCCTTGGGTTATGAGTTACAGAGTCGGTTAAAGTGTTTCATTAATTATGATCTTCAAACATCCTCCACACTTAAATACTTTTGTTTTGTTTTCCTTTACTGCCATCTGGCATATGTCTCTAACTAAATCATAAAAATAATATTTTTCCTATAATTATCCCAATTTAGGATAAAACGCGACTTAGACGCCATATTATTATAGTTTTGTATTTCTGTGAATTAGGATTTTAAACAACGTTGCAGTTTGTACTAAATTAGGCTGCTAGCCAACGTCGGTATCCAACGTCGTTTCGACCTAAAAATTATTCTCGAAGCTAGTGCAGACTAGGGTTGGCACGAGGTTGTGCCGACGTTGCGCCCCTACGTTTGGTCGCGTGACACACCGTTGTCCCGACGTCTAAATGCTGCTTGGGTATATTTTTCTTGGTGTAAGAATGTAAGAACAATCTTCGGATTCTCATGGGGTTTTTAGCAATAGGTCTCCTCATTGAATATCTCAGTAGATTTAAGCTATGAAACAACGGCTAATGCAGATTCTGTGAGAAAAATGACGAAACACTTTTTTAAAATAATGTCTATGCTTTTGTTGTGGATTAATTTCTTCAAAAAAAGTCTTAGGAGCAAATCTATAAAATAAAATAGTTATTTTTTGTATATGTTGGAGGCAGATGCCGAATTCGGCCTATGTCCGAAATAATTAGACATATGGCGATTTCTCCATACTAAACTTGCCAGATGCGTGCAACTTCGTGGTTATTAATAGTCTTTATATAACTTTTTTGCGGAGGGGGTTAATCTGGTTTTGGTATAATATAACAACAAAAGATTAACACCCTCCGCATAGAAGTTGAAACCAATGCAATCAAAACTCTTCCGTGTAACTTTGTGGATATAGGATATAGGTAGGTATATTTAATTATAATCGCCATATGTCTAATTATTTCGGATATATAGGCCGAATTCGGCATCTGCCTATAACATATACACCGCTCGCTGTGTTGATCCAATGGAGACCAATTTGTCAGTGTTATTTTACTTTATTTAAACTAAAGTATTCTAAATAATTTTTTAGATATTTTAAATAGTTTTATCTACGTCAGTGAGTTAAGAGCTTCTTAACTCACCCATTTTGAGTGAGTTAAGAGCTTCATTTTGCACTAAATTGGAAAAATATGTTATGAGTACCTTCTCATTTCCATAGTTGTGTACTTTTTTTTCGGTGAAGCATTTTTCATACTTAGAGAATGTATATTCATACTTCTGTTTCGATCTTGCTGGAAGCAATCCAGAAATGGCTCTGAATGCCTCTTCTTCAATGTCAGAGGGAATACTTTCCGAATCGCTCATTTTTTAAACTAGTGACATCAATATTATTTACTGTCATATTGACATTGTCATGCATGGTGTTATTTGAACAAAGATATTAAAGTAATTGATTTTTAGGATAGGTATATAGTTAAGTACAATAATTTTTAAAATTTATTGTGTGTTTTTATAGTTAGACGTAGATAAAATATTGTATAATACACGCAAGTTAACTCCACTAAGATAATTGTGTGGTTACACGGGTATCTTGATGATGCTGTTAACTCACTTGTATCGTAAATATCTATTTTCTTTGTCCATTTTGTTTTTGTTTGCTTCGTTATTAGTTAAATACTTTTGACAAATTGATCTTCGTTGGATTAACACAACAGTGTTTACAAAAATTAACTATTTTATTTTGTAGATTTTCGTACAGTGGCGAAATACCCAGAAGACTTTTTCAAAGAAACATTTTTTTGACTTACATTTCTTGTATATACATTCAGAAATAGGCAATCTTCTACGCCAGCTGTTACATTGTTGATTGCATTATATTGAAGACAAGCACTGCCCTGTTCTGTGGCATTGCGAATGCCTGACCAACCAGATGCAGGTTCACTTAACTGGAAATCAAACGTAGATAGGATATGAGCATGAAAAACTTATGTGGAGGTTAAGATAGATGATAGTTGATATTCAAGAAGTTATGAAAAGTATTGAATCAAAAATAAAAGTATATTTTTTTAATTTTTATTTGTCTACACATTATCCTATTATCTACAGGGTGTTTTAAAAAACATCTGCTATCTCGCGTGTGGAGATTTCTAAAAAAAATAAGACTTATTTTTATATGAACGACTTTTTTTAAAGGTTGCTGTTATACTTAAAATAAGGCAAATTAATGAGATTGTGTTATCTCATCAAGGAGATCCGAAATCGACAAAAAAACAAGAACAAAAACAAACACAAAATCAAAAATAACTCTTAATCGGCATTACACTGTAAAAAATCAGCCTGAGTGAACACATATTTCTCAGGGAGTGAATTTTTTGAGTGAAATAATTGAGTACATTTTTATCTAAAATAGAGTAAATTCATCATTTTACTCAAATATGATCTCTATTTAATCAATAGCTATTGAATAAGCTCATGTTCGAGTTATAACCCCTATCTTTGAGTAATGGAATAGAAAAATTCACTTAAAAACTCATGTTATAGTTTTACACAATAAAAATTTGAGTTAAATCACCCAGTTTAGAGTATTTTCGCTCATTACTAATCATACGTCATACGCGCTTCTTCGATACCGAATAAGCTATTTCCCTGTTCCTCAGTTTTTAATTATCTGTTCGAGTCGTTCGAATCAGGTTGTCTTGTCCTACAAATAGGTTGTCTTGTTCCTTCGAAGGTGCCCAGGTTACAAGTCCATAGTGTATGTGTGTGTGATGTAAAGTGTGACAGTGGCCGCGTGGCGTGGTGAAGCGAATACGAACTCATAACTCCTAAGTATGTTTTATGTTAAGAACATTTTTTTTCACATCGCAGAAATCCGCCCAACATATATTCAAATTCTACTGCATCTACTGATTGCCGCAATGCTCGGATGTTTCCTGGACTAATTAGCGTAGCGAAAATCTAGGTACTTTCCCTCAATCTGGAACTGGGAACTGGAACATTTGGCAGAATAACATTTTTTTTTAATTTTCAGGAGGAAAAGTATCTGGATTTTCCGGAGGATTTTCGTTATTAAAAGTTAGTTTAGAAATTAGAAATATTCGAGAATGTTGGTAGCCGAGCTGACGAATGCTCTTAATAAAGCGGATTTTTGCGATGTGATGCAACTTTTCTAGACATCTAGCTTAAAAAGTTCCTGTATTTTTTCCAAAAAGAGTTGAAAACTTTTTAAAATGTTTTTGATATTATAATAATAGTGTTATATTTGGTTTTATTTGTTTTTTTGTCAAATAAAAATGACAAATAAAAATATTTTTGAAGGTTCTACAGTTTTTTATTTGGTTTGTTAAAAAAAACGAAATATTCTAAATGATTTTTTTAAAAGCTATGTAAGCTAACTTGTTATTTTATTACAAGTGACCAGATGCCTCCCAAAAGTGAATTTTAGGAAATGGACATGTTCGAGACCATGTCCTAAACTGAAACTTACCTTTGAAAGGCACCTGCCCACCTGTTATAAAATAACAAGTTAGCTTACATATAGCTTTTAAAAAAATAATTTAGAATATATTTCTCAATACTGAGTGAAATTAATACTCAGATATGAGTACTAATCGAGTTAAGTGTAACACAAATTTGAGTAAAAGTCACTCAATAAAAGGTGTCTTGAACTCAACACTTAGTGAGTTCACTCATTTTAAAGTGAATAAATTATCAAAATCGATCAAAATCCTACTCAAGGTAAACAATAATGAGTAAAAAAGGAGTCTTTCGTCTAATCTCGATTGAGTGAAAAAACTCAGTGCTTTTCACTCTGAGAATTGAAGATTCACTCGGTTCTGTAGAGTGGAAATTTCACTCAATCGGGTGTGGACAGAAATTGAGAAAGTATTGAGTGAAATCTGAGTGAAATTTCACTCATTTTTTTTTACAGTGTAAACGGCCTACACAATCCTGCTTACAAGAGAAAAAAGCAGTGGCGCACATGTTTTTATTAGAACAATATTCCTAAACTCTTTATTACCATTAAAAAAAGTCGCATTTATATTAATTTAAAAGCTATAGTAATTTAAAAGCTAAAAAAATACCAAAACCTAAAACTTTATAACGAAAATTATAATAAACCGAAAAAAAATTAAGACTTTAACACCCTGTAACTACGAAACAAAGCAGAATCGGACCTATGTTGATATAAAAAGTCTTATTTTTACCTGATAAATATCTCCACGAGAGATAGCATATGTTTTTGAAACACCCAGTATATTTAAAAAAACATTGCAATTCTGATTTGTTTCAAAATATTGAATAACCAATCACAAAAAAAAATGGTCTTACCTCAAATCTTCTAGATCCAGTGGGTGGTTTTGCATAAGGTATACCCAAAAAACTATAAAATTTATTTCCATCAAAATCAATTTTAATTGATCCTCGTAATGATCCCTGAGAAACAGTTACAATGGGATCAGAATGTGATGCTACACCATTAATTACAAAAAATGCATTCAAGATTAAGTAAGTCAAATTATTTACAATCATGTTTCCCCACTGAAGTTATCTGTTTACTGTCTACAGCATTATATATAGATATACTATCTAGTCTCCGAAAATAAATGTGAAACATAACAATATAATGCATATAGAGTGTCTCAATGATTATACGGGTTTCCATAAGTTTGTTACTTCAATACAATACCTATTTTTATTTATTTTATTGTAGGCCATCCTGTAATCGAAAATAAAAGCGATGAAAAACCCATTTCGCTTCATTTCTTACAACTGATTAGCATTCTTTAAAGTTGCTTGCTATTGTTTGTCCGTATTTATTTATAATAAATTCTGAGTAATATATTTATTACTGCTACAGTGGGACAAAAACATAATCAAGTATAGCCAAAAACTGTAAGCTTAGTATAATTAATTTATTAAAAATTTCATTTATTACATAGTTTATCAGTCGATTTCGTGTTGATCTTCTGGTGTAGCAAAAAATATATGATTTGGACGGAGAGATGTGAAAATTAACAGAAAAAATCTACTTTTGGTATTAAATTTTCTGAAAATTAATGTTACCCAGAAGATATTATTTTAATAAACAAAAATATTGTTTTTCTTAAAATTACTATACCGGATGCGTCTGAAAAGTGGCTTACCACCAAAACTTTCTTGTGTATTCAGATAAAAAGAAACGAGATTTGGTACGTTAGTATATGACATAAATTAGGATTGATTGACGTATTCAGTTGTTTTGGTATCTTGGTAAACTTTTACTGTATTCGATAGAAAATGACACAGTGAATAAAATGATATATCATTATGTGAAGTTAGACATTTTTGCTTAAAAGGAATCGTTTTTTAAATTCCAATCTAGAGTGTCATAGCTGTGTTGAAAACCCTAATTTTTAATCAAGGAGCCTTGGAAAAATAGATTTTATCTTCTAATGTTTTTCGTGCCTTCTCCTGGCCGGTTAAAAGATGCCCAAATCGTATTTTTAATCATATCTCAATTTTTTCAAATGAAACAAGGGTGTCTCAATAGCGTATTTGGAAAAAGCATTTTTTTACAAATAATTTGGTACGGTACTTGGTATATCTAGTGAAAATTGTCGTTATATGCAAAAATGTCAAAAATTGACATATGATATTCTATATATAATTAAATAATGAATTTTTTCAACAAGATTTCGGTATGGCAATGGGATCACCTCTCTCTCCTTTGTTAAGTAATATTTTTATGGAAGATTTTGAAAATAATACAATAAATAGTTTTTCAAAAAAGCCTTTAATATGGCTGCGTTATGTTGATGATATTTTTGCAATATGGCAACATAACGTTTCTGAAATAGACATTTTTTTGGAATATATAAATTCTCGCGAACCTACCATACAATTTACTTTAGAAGTAGAGAGAGGTAATCGTTTGCCATTTCTTGATGTTTTAGTGTCAAAGTTTCAAAATAAACTAATTTTAGATGTTTACAGAAAACCCACAAACACAGATAGATACTTAAATTTCACATCTAATCACAGTATAAGTGTAAAAAAGGTGTTATAAAAAGTTTATATGATAGGGCAAAAATAATATGTGCAGACGATATTTCACTAAACAAAGATATAAACCACATAAAAAATACATTAATAAAAAACGACTATCCACCATATTTTATTGACAAAACATTAAACGAAATACAAACCCCAAATCATAGACACAAAGATAACAATACACAATATATACAACTTACAATTCCATACATACGACGCGTTTCGGAAAAAATAAGAAGGATAGGAAAACAATATAACATACAAACATCTTTCAAAACACAAAATACACTTAGATCCATTTTATCACATACTAATCCAATGAATACAGAATAACAAACAAAAATGTAATATACCAAATACCATGCGAATGCGATAAATTTTACATTGTTGAAACATCTAGACCCTTAAATGTTAGAATTAAAGAACATAAAGATTATTTAAGAAAGGGAGATTTTCACAAATCTAAGATTTGTCAGCATTCATGGGACACAGGAGCACAGAATAAATTTTAATAACGCCAAAATTATAATGAAAGAAGCGATAGCCTCTAAAGAAAAAATAAAAGAGGCTTTTTTAATTCAATCTAATACAAATAAATGTATTGCTCATGCATCTGTAGATGTTAGAAATGTATGGCAATCGCTTCTTTTGATTTTTAACATTACAGAAATAAACATAACATACGTGAAATTTAAAAATAATCATACAGAAAGTTTGGGCTTTTTGGTTTTACCTTATTAAGTAATTATCAGGTAGTAATTGTTAATTTTGAAGTTTAACTTAATATAATGTCATTTTAACAGAACGTCAACGATTTCTTGTAGACGTATCTGTTTTAAAAAGTAAAGTGTTCTCGAATAGTTCAATTTAAATATTTTAAATAGTTTTTTTCTTGATTCTTTATATTTTTTTTGCTTCAAACGACGGAAAGAGAAAACTTTCCGAAACGTTAAGCATTTTTTTCTTTGTTAGGCAAATGTGTATTACTGTAAACACAACTTCTGACAAGCAGCGTCCGTTTAGGTTTAACGCAGAAGTGTTTACAAAAAATAACTATTTTATTTTGTAGATTTTTCTTGCTGTGCAGTGGCGAAAAACCCATAAGGATTTTTTTGAATAGATGAATCCGCCACATAGGTATAGACATTTTTTATAGTAGTGGGAACTATCGAATGAATACTATCGAAACATTCGATAGTTGCAATTCATTCGAATAATTCGATAGTTAGTAAGAAAACATTCGTTGAAAACTATTCGAATAAAGATTATCGAATAGATCCGTCATCTGCCTTGAAATATTATATTCTAGTAATTCGGCAGCAAAAACCATTCATTTATAAAATTCATTCATTTATGAAATTCATTTATTCGTCAGGATCGATTATAATAAAATATTAATTGAATTTTAGTTGTCGCCCGGCGACGTAGGTTTCTTTCCGAGAAACCCGACAGCGGTCGGTGGCAATGCTATGAAAGAAGCCGGCATCTTTGATTTTTTGCGGAGTCAGATATAGATAAGGACACATTATTTTTTTTATTGAGGTGCTAGTATTTACACAGAAAATACATTATGAAGGGCGCTGTTGCCATATTTTGGCATTAGTTGATATTAGCAAAGAATATTATTGTTTGGCTTTAGTTAGTTAGGGATAGTATGTCTATATATTCTGCATTTTTTTTTATTAATATTCTGTTGTTACACTGCAATAATACTTGTTATTTTGGATGTAAGAACATGAAAGTGATTTTTAATGTTTTTAAGCAAAGACTGGTTTAATAAATAATAATAACAGTAATAATTTGTTATACCTATTAACAACAAAATTTAAAATGATTTAATATCAATATTTTTTTAAGTAGTAGCAAAATATAAACAACAAATTAGATGTCAAAATTATTTATATTAGATCCTATTTAAAAATAATATAGTCTTTAAATTTTTTGGCAACGTTGGTTTGTTAAATAATAATAATTACAGAACTAATTTGTTATATTAACAACAAATTTTAAAATCATGAAATATAAACATTTATTAATTTTCTAAGCATGCAGTGTAATGGAACGAAAATATAAATAAAAAATTAGAAATCAAAATTATTTATATTAGGTGCTTTATATCTCTATTTAAAAATTATATTAATTAATTATATTACTTTTACTGGCATTTACTCTAAAAAATAAATGAAATATTTCTTCGCAAAAAACTACATGTAAGAGAATTAGCATAAACAAAATACAAACATCGTTAACTTTTTTTTAAAATTGGCACGTGTAAAACTTTCAATTTAATTTTCACCCCATAGTTTAAGTTCGATAGCCACATTTACTTAACCACATTACTTAAATATGATTATTAAGTTCAACTAATTCATATTATTAAAACATCTAAAATACAAATATCTATTTTTAAAATTAATTGTAAGTTCATCTCATCTCTCTTAAAAATTGCTACTTCTCAAAAGTTCCTATTAAAAAATAGCCATATACCATATAAAATTAAATAATCGAAAGATCGGACTACGGAAAACCACACAAATTTTCGGAAAAATTTTGACCACCTGCACATGCACACAATCGTCAATAAATAAAATTAAAAAATAACTACTATTTTAGTATTTTAACTATTTTAATAAACGCAAAAATAGCACAGTATTTATACGGCGAAGTTATAATAATTTGGAAGAACTAATAATGCACTGACGCATACAAAAATCAAACGAATACTAAATTTCATTTATCAAAAGCATTCGATAGTCGTGGCTCAACGATAACCATTTAGTCGCACGGCGAGGTTGTCACATATGCTTTAGTATACAAATGAATGAATGATTTTATTCGAATAAAACAATTCGATAGTTGAAATCATTCATTCATTAACCATTCGATAGTCTAATTCATTCGATAGTTCCCATCGCTAATTTTTTATGATATTCTATTCAGAGTGTCATTTTCTATCAAATAAAGCAAAAAAATGCCGAGCTTGTCATTTATAAATCAAAAGTTGTAGTCATTTCCGGTAAAACAGGAAGTGACTAAAAACAATTGAATACGTCAATGATTCCTAATTTATACCATATACTAACATACCAAATCTCGTTCTTTATCTGAAAAAATAAAAAAGTTATAGTGGTGAGCCACTTTTGAGACGCGTCCGGTATGGCTCTTCTTTAACAGGGTCGCTGTTATGTATGGAAAGGTCGATTATTAGGTAAAATATATAGGAGGTACCGCAAAAAGTTAAATATAAAAGTTATAGGGTTTATATTAGATATAGATATTGCAACAGCATCACAGTTTCGGCAGAATGGCATCATTAAATCAATCCAAACACATCGAAATTAATTAAATCGAATTGTTAAGTGATATTTTCAAAAGCCAATAACTCGGAAACGGTTGCTTTGAGGTACATTGTGTTTATTCCGATTTTTGCTTAGAATTGAAGGAAGAATTAAAATATGTAATAATATACAGGTGGTTCTATTTAAAAAAATGAAACTTTGATGTGCCACGACTTTATGAACCACCCTGTACACTTAAATTTATTACTCACTAATAGATATATAAAGTTCCTATAACTTTTTTATTTAACTGTATGCGGTACCTCCTATATTTTAGCTAATAATCGACCGTTTCCATACATAAAAGCGCATGCTTCTTTAAAAATAAACTATTAATTTAATTAAGAAATTGAGATTTATTGATATCCGGTGAAGGTTTTAAAGTCACTTTTTCTGCAAATCAAACTAAGTAGATAGGCGCAAATTTGAGATGTGGCAATGTCGCCTTCTCTATCTCAGTTGGTTTTTACAGTACGTAGTCAACCTCCCATTGTTTGATCGGGTTAAAATGCACAATGTGATATCTGTTCTTACTAAATCTATGAGTACAGCTAACTGCTTTGGTACTTGAATCAGAGTCACTATATGATTGAACAGTTGCTTAAAGGCGTTTCTTTTTCTTTTCAATGAGAGGTTTAATTACAGAATATGTAGGTTAAATATTTTTAAAATCATCTGACTATCAATTTAAAGACTTAGAAGTGTTTAAAGTGATACTTGTGTTTCTGTGCTGTTGTGTTTGTGAAATCTTTCGAAAATCGACAACTGTGAAACTATGAACCGTTCCCGGACACAAACTGTACATTGTGAGACAGGAAAGTGTGTAAAAATAAATATATTTAATTTGTGCTATATAGTCAGATAGTTTTTGTCCATCTAGGCTGTCAAATTTTTGAAAAATAAAGCAAAATAAAAAACACCGTATATCGTGTACACTAAATAGATCTTCCAGTTTTGGAAGCTGTTCTGGCTATTAAGGATGATAAATATATAACCAATTTGAATCTAAAAGGGGATGGAATAAAAAAAACTGAATTTGAATTGTTATTGATAGCTTTAGTTAGGTATAATAAAAATAAACCAGGAGATTCAGACAAATGTACATTTTTCCTTTTGTTTGTATTTATTAATCAAAACTTCTAAATTTACAAATAATTTATTGTGTTTCTACTCTGATGGTACAAATCAGCCCAAAATTCAATAGTCCGTGTTTCTGTGTTTGACTTCATTGTCAGTCCGCTGTTTTCGATGTGCAATAAATTCCACTGGCTAAGATCGACCGGTGTCCAGACTACTCCCAAGTCACTTGCATTAGGCGTTGGATTGCCGTATTTGGCAAAATTGGTCCACAACTTCACCATTCTTCTCCAACTCTTATCTTCAACACTTCCAGGTTGGATGTTAGGCGTGGAGGTAGTTTTGAATAAATATCCAAGCTCGTCGCCATGGGATGCACCTATAATTTTTTTTTATATGATTATAAAATTAAAAGTAAATAAAATATATTTTACTCAAGTAAGATTTATATTGTTGTAAGAAAACTAAAATTAAATATTACAAAATATGAAAATTATAAAAATTGAACTTTATGTTGGGTATACCTGGAATATCAGTGACATTAACTGCAACTTTTATATAATTCAGCCCTGTATCTCCTGCAAATTTATATAAGAACACTTTCTTATTACATGTCTTTATGTGATTCTTTACTGTCCCAAATATACCTGCAACAAACATCGTGTCCGAGTACGCCTAAAATAAAAAATTTCGGTAATAATAATAAAGTTTTAAGTAATATTTTAATTAACTGTTTATTTTTAATCATTGTAAGTACTTATTGTTTTACCTTTATATAGCTATCCCTATCAGGTGTACTTAGATAAAAATCATTAAATTTCTTAATATAAATTTGTCTCAGTGTTTCATTTCCATGAAAATCAATATTATGAGGTATAAAATTCTTAGCTGTCACAGTTTCATTTTCCAGTTCTCGTACTACTTCGTCTAGAATACCTTAAAATAAAAATTAAAATTAAATAGTTTTAATAATTCATTTTCAAAGCTATTTTAAACTAATAAACTAAAAATGCAGAATTGAACAAATACGAAAATGACTATTAATATCACAGCTATAATATTAGTGATTTTTGGTCCAAAAATCTAATCAACAATAGTTATTTTTTATCCAAGGCGATAAAATGGTATTTTATCGTGGACCATAAAGAATTTCGGGAGACGATAATGCAATTTTATCGTCGTGTATAAAACAAATTTTTTTTTCATAACGAGTTACGTTTTAAAAAATATTCAGAAATTATTATTTCAAGGAATTTATTACGAGTAGAAAAAATATTGTGCTGGGTTGGCGTTGGTTTCTATGTAATTTGACAAATAAATAAAGCTGTCTCTTTAGTTGTCAGTGCTAATGTTCGTAAGAAAAAACTTTTTCATTAATTGATAAGTAAATATTAAAAAATCATTTCTATGTATACTCTCCGATGAATGAAATGGTTTTTATTACTAACATTATCTATTTTTTGCTATATTATTTTGGCAATAAGTCAGTTAGTAAGTTATAACAAAATAGAAAGTTTAATGGACAATAAGTTTTGAAACATGGGTACAATATAATTTTACCAATATTGTATTGACGTAAAATTAACAATATTGCTGATAAATCTCAAATGAGTACTTTCTTGAACGTCACATTAGCAACGTTTCAATAATATTGTGAAATCTTCTCACGAGGTTGTGACAAAGTTTCAATAAACTTGCATCAACATTTTTTCAACCTTGCACTGCAATGTTATTTGGCGGAAGATTAAGTTTGCTTGTTGGGTAGCGTCAGATTAAGTGGTTATGTAATAAATACTTCGGTTTTTTGTCTCTCCGACTTACTAGATTGCCATAGCGATTCATTCCTATACATGTAAACGCCGACCCAAGGTTTCGCTTGCCAGCAGGGTATAAGGCAATTTTAACAGTTGCTATGGAAAAAATAAGTATTTTTGCATTGTAAATAAATTCTAAAACAACTCTGGTGGATTAGTTGCATTAAAATTACTAATAATTGATTATTTAGTGAAGATAATAATTCCTGTTTCCTGTTAGTGTCCTTATAGAACCTAATCATATAACATACCCACACACATCTGCTTTAAACTATCTATCACCAATCATTATTTATATACCTTCTCTATCATTAAATCCTATAAGTAAAGGCACTTTGTTATATTCTCCTGACGTCAGTATATCAATGATGTTTCTAGAAATGAATGCATCACGTGAAGGCTTTTCTATGTTCAAAGCAAAGACATAAGGTCCTCCAACATTTCGTGAACTAGTTATGGTGTTCTGAAGTCTGAGTATCTCATCAGAAGGAAGATTTCTGAAGTACTCGGCAGCTTGTTCTTCAGTTGTAATACTTGGGTTAGCTGTTTTTGCTACCTTTACTATGTCGTGGTAACTGTAGTCGCCCCAAGGGTTTAAGGCTGTGCCACTTTCCAAGATTGCTCTTTGGAATAATCCCCTAAAATAGAAGAAAAAAAATTTTGTGTTTTATTTTTTACTGATATTTTAAGCTTTTAGAAATATGACGTTTAAAATCAAAAAGTTGGAAGTATGTTTATATAAAAATCTGCTGAAATTAGAATACACGAAGACAATATACTCTAAATTAGTGGTTTCAATAAGCATAGTTACTGTAAAACTACTATTGTAAATCAATAAAAAAAATATTAGGTACTTCCAAATATTTTTGGAAACACCAAATAATTTTTTTGGATTTTGAGAGACGACGCTGTTGCGTTGTAGGGTTCATCAAATGAAATAATTTTTTATAACTTCATCTTTGTGTCTCTTGTGGTCGACGAGATCCCTGTATGAATTCCTAAATTGGGACACTATGTATTTATGGTATCGCGATATAAGATGCCATCTGTCAATTATACGAGGGAAAACAAAATGCTGACATTTTGGTAAAATTTTGAAACACCTTGTGGATTATGTAAACAAAGCAAGAAATTTAAAAATAATTTTATCATCTTGGTGTTCCTTTTCTCGATAGTTTTTTTTTTATTCATCTCAATAACTTTTTTTTTGAGATATTCACTTTTGAAGAAGCTACAATAACATTTTCTCGTATTTTTTACATTAAAACCATGCCTTTGCTTATGGTACTAGCCAACAGACCTATAAAATAGTGTTTATGATTTATATAATATCTCTGTCTTTGAAAAGCTATTGGTTGCTGGTAATCATACAGCGTTCCAGTGTTCATAGTGATAATCTACACGACTACAGTGCAGACTGCACAAATGAAGGAGCATACATGATTGCAGTGTACGCAGTGAAATATATACACGGTAGTAGATTCCTATAACTTTTTTAAAACAATAAGTTAATACAAAATTCATTCATCAGTTTTTATTACCAAAAAGTAGTTATGAAAAAATCGTAATATTACACAAACTAGTGCTGTTTAGCGTGCGATACATTTTCATTGATGTTTTGTATTAACTTGTGAGTACTCTTCTTTGTTTTTCCTTCAATTCTTGAAGGTCTTCCGCTCTGAATCCGTTTTCTGCCACATTTAAAATCAGACCGAACTTTTCTTCATATGCATGATGTAGGTTGTGCAACCTACTGGTTGTGCAACTATTGGTGTGCACCAATCATTTTTCCCTTTCTGTTTTCTTTAATCTTCGTAATAAAAAGTTTTTCTAACTGACCAGTTGTTTTTATCTGCTGTAGGGACTTTGTAAATTTGTTAATAAGTATCGTATTTTTCGATAGTTTTGCAATTCCCACAATTCTTTCAAGTTCAGTCTCCATTTTATTTACTGCATCCATCGCCTCATCGTCCTTTTCATCTTAAATACACAAAAATTACATTTTAAAATATTCTACACTAAAAATGCAACGACTATAGACTCATATGTATAGGACTGTCTTTTATATTTTGCACCCTATCTAGAGACTTTATTTTAGGAGGAAAAATTTTTAAATACAAAAGTTGCAGGATTTTTTTCCATATTATCTTTTAAATATATCAAAATACACAAATGCATATGGCAACCACGGAGTAGGTACCTAGCTAACTTCACAAGTAAATTAAATACCTACGGAAGTAAACAAAAGAGAACAAGAAATTGGAAATGGCGTGTTCATATACGCTGCAGAATGGCAAACTGCTACCGTGTATATTATTTTCCGTGGTACTATAGCCGTGTATAAAATAACAAAGCCCCGGGCGAGGACGGCATAGTGATTGAGGCTGTAAAACTCGGAGGAGGAACACTATTAAAATGGATTAAAGACTTATTTAATCTATGCCTTGAAAAAGGAATAATCCCGTCTCAATGGAACAACGCCATAACAATACTTCTCCATAAAAAGGGTGATATCACCGAGCTTGAAAATTATAGACCGATAAGCCTTCTTTGTCACTCGTATAAGCTGTTTACCAAAATCATTGCCAAACGTCTCGAACGTAAACTAGATTTCTATCAACCAAGAGAACAGGCAGGCTTTAGGAAAGGTTATGGAACAAACGATCATCTTCAAGTAATTAAAGTCCTGATAGAAAAATCTGTGGAATACAACAGGCATTTGACACAGTAAAATTGCAAGGCAAAGCATTTGACACAGTAAAATTAACATCAATAATAGCAGCATTGGAGCAGGGAAGAGTAGATTATAGGTATACAAGGCTTATAGAATACATATATAGTAATGCCACTACAACTGTAAAACTTCACGAAACAACAGATAAAATTGAGGTAGGCAGAGGAGTTCTACAAGGGGATACTATTTCGCCTAAACTTTTTTCAGCTGTCCTTGAATACGTAATGAAATCACTCTCTTGGGAGAATAGGGGCATAAATATCGATGGTGAAAGGTTGACACATCTCAGATTCGCAGATGACATCGTCCTTGTCTTAGATAACATGGAGATTCAAAGCAGATGCTCGAAGAATTAGTGCAGGCCTCATTAAAAGTCGGTCTCCGTTTAAATACGAGTAAAACGCAAATAATGACAAACTTAGTGCTGACACAGAACATCAGAATAAGTGACGCCGACATAAAAGAAACACATATATACAAATATCTCGGGCACGAAATACAAATCGGAAAGAACAACCAAACACACGAGATACAGCGCAGAATAGGTTTGGGTTAGGCTGCTTTTGGCAAACTGCGGGAGACCTTTAAAAGTGATATACCTATATGCTTGAAGAGGAAAGTTTATGAACAATGCGTCTTGCCGGTAATTACATATGGAGCGGAAACTCTAACATTAACGAAAAAGTCAGCAGAAAGTTTAAGAGTAGCCCAGAGAGCCATGGAGAGAGCCATGCTTGGAATAACTAAAAGAGACAAAATTCCTAATAACACTATCAGACAAAAAACCAAAATTAAAGACATAGTGGAACACGTAACTCGAATGAAATGGAGATGGGCAGGTCATGTGGCGAGAACATCTAAAGACAGGTGGACTAGAAGATTGTTAGAATGGCGACCTCGAGCAGATAAACGTAGCAGAGGCAGACCACCGACACGCTGGACCGATGATGTAAAGAGGACTGCTGGAAATTGGATGAGGACGGCCCAAAATCGAGAGACATGGAGAAATATGGAGGAGGCCTACGTTCAGCAGTGGACAACGATGGCTACATGATGATAGCCGTGTATATTTTGCAATTCTTGATACGGCGAGTGACCAGCACTGTAACCGCGTACATTATTTCTGGGAACACTCTATCAGTTATAATTTAGGCTAACCAATAGGATTCAAGAAAAATCCAGTTAACACTGTATTCATGTATATATTACAAAATCGCTTCCCGGGCACAAACGCTACATTGTGAGACAGGAAATTGTAGATTTTGTTTTCCCTCGTATAATTGACAGATGGAAACTTAGATTTTTAATTTAGAAAGATACTAAAAAGTCAAATCATTTAGCTACAAATTGCTTAAAAATAATCAAAATCAGCCCACTAGAACAAAACTTTAAAATAAAAAATTAAAAATTTAAGGTGTGTATCTGTCAAGTTTAGGATATAGAGATGAATAGAAAAATGCGGTGTATTTTATAAACTGGTTTATGATTTATCGCATCTTTAATACTTTCAACTATACTCTGTTTTTTTTCTCAGGTAAGATTTCGACAGACGATGACAGAAGAAAAGCAGATGACGTCCCATACTATTTATTTTACTAAAAAACGTTTCTAATAATTTTTAAGTTATCTATGGATGGGTTTAAATATAAATCCGTCATACGTCGTGTCTTGTTGTTTTTTAACCAGTTTTATTGGTTTATTTAAAAAATGACAGATCGTAATTCAATTTTATTGGTTTGACGGAACGATGAACGACAAACGAACGCCGATGCGTATGAACTCGCCTTTAGATTTTTGTCATTTTTGACGCTTGTTAAAGTCTTGCCAAATTATAGGTTATAATTTTGTGTCAACTTTTGTTAAATACCCTGCGTTTTGGAAGATGATGCATTTTGATTCGTATTATTACGTGTGTTTTGTGTCTTTTGAAGTCAAGTGGAGGAAAAATCGAGTGAAAATTAACTGTAGACCCAGAGCACAGTTTATGGTTAATACTCGCTGCCCAGGCAGAAAGTCTTATACACCAATGAAGTTGCCATCGATAAAGTTTGTATACCATTTCGTCGTAGATAAGTGCATCTCGTATATGGTAGAAGGATCAAACTAAACACATATATAAAACACATATATAGATACTAAAAACTGGAGTAGCTGTAAAATATCGACATCACACGATAAGTAAATAATGGATTTTAGTACTGCAGAAAAATAATGTCAAAAGGTACTGGTTTAAAAAAATTAAGATAAGTAATAATTAATAAGTTAATTAATCAACTTTTAAGGTATAAAATTTATGAATAAAATAGTTTGTTTTATTTACCTATGTTGTTTTATTTATTCCTGTGGAATATTACAAATTTGTATTTGTACATAAGTTATATTGATAAATATAATCATAAATGCGGGTAGTTTCATAAAGCTTGAAAGTAAATAATAGTTCTTTTTTATATTTTTTGGTATGTAGTGTCTTGTTCTTGTTTGTTATGTATTAACACATACCGTTTTTATTAAATAAAATAACTCAATTATATTTTTTCAGTTTTATACAGTTTTTTTCACAATATTTTGAAGTAATCACTTGTCATCTTCAATCAAATTTTAAATATATCCTGCTATGCGTTCCAGTTGTACCAACTTATTTCTTTGTAAAATAAAATAACTACTTTGAAATTAAAATGACAGACACATCTATCACTGTCAAGGATCTTCTTGTTGGACAGACTATAGGTTTTTTAACAATAAATTTACCTCGTCAATGGGGATAACACATGATAGTGAACCGATGCTGAACCAGAACTTTCACCAAATATCGTCACCTGGTTTGGGTCTCCATTAAATACCCGAATATTATTTTTCACCCATTTCATTGCCACAATTTGGTCCTTGAAACCCAAATTACCCGGTATGCCTTTTGCTTGGATATATCCTAAACCCCCAAAAAATTGTTTTAATTTTATTACCTTAAGGTTAATTTCGATCAAACCTAGAAATCCTAAACGATAGTTTACTGTTACTAGAACTATGTCTTGGGTGAGAAGAAAGTCTGGCCCGTAGAACGATCCACCATCTCCGGAAATGAAAGAACCGCCATGGATCCAGAACATTACTGGCTTTGGTTTGGTTCCTTTATCGGGCAACTAAATATATTAATAAGAAAATCTTACTTGGTAAAATTTAAATGCTAAATGTTTAGATAAGGAGTAGAAAAACTAAGAAAAGATAAAAAAATATTGAATTAAACATCAGTAATAATAAAAAAATAAAATAAGTAAACCAAATGTAACTCAGGAAATTGTGGAAAGAATAATGGCAGGAAATAGATGTGTTAGTGCACTACAGAAAATTATTAAAAGTAAGAATATCTCTATCAAGTTTAAAAATCGGAATGTTCCAAACAATGATACGACCAATAGTGTTGTATGCATGTGAAACGTGGACGTTCAATGCAACGGAAAGTTCGAGACTAGAGATTTGGGAATGAAAAATACTGCGGAAGATTTTTGAAGGAAAGAAGATAGACAACATGTGGAACAGAAGAACAAATGAAGAATTAAAGCAACTATATCGGGCACCGAGTATAACGGGAGTAGCAAGAACAAAAATACTGAGATGGCTGGGACACATTGAAAGAATGGCTGAATCAAGACTTCCTAGAATAATAATGGAACGTGAAATTGGTGGAAAGACAAGGAGGGGTAGACCGAGAACCAGATGGAAAAAGGATGTTGAAGAGGACTTGAGAAGGATAATAGTGGATGAGTGGAGAATAAAGGCGAAAGACAGTAACAAATGCAGAAAGATAACCAATCAAGCCATGAGCCTTTTTATGCTTTAATGAGCTATTATATACAGGGTGAGTTTCCTACGATGTTCGCTATGGGTATCTCGGAAACTACTGGAGATAGAGAGTCGGTTAAATGGTTCATGGCTTACTAGATATTTCAAAAAAAAACAAATTTCGGCTATTTTAAAAACTGTCCCTAATTCCATTATAAGCTATTTTAGACAAAAAGTTTTCAGATAAAAGTTGTAGATAATCACATCCTTCAAGAGATCGTGTCCTCCGTTTTTTTCTAAAGCCTGTCATTTTTGACATATGATACAAACTTATGTTTTTTTAAATGGAAACCATAGTTGGCCATGACTTCATAAAAAGCGCCGTTTTTTAAGCTTTTTAGTGATATAAGCTATAATATCTTTTCTTCGAAAAATTACTGAGTTATAGCCAATTCTTATCATTTTTAAACAATTTTACTTAGTTAGCCATGGAAACAAGTTCAATCGCAGTTGCTCTCAGAAATGTGAAGCTATCACATCCAAACTTTGTAAATTAAAATAAACAAAAATTGGAAATATGAATTTTTCAAATGAAAAAAAGCGCGTAGATACTCACGCATCAATCCAACATGACTTTCATTATGACACACTACCCCCCACTCTCCCATAATGAAAGAAATGTTAAAAATTATTTATATCATAATTATGCAAACGCAGGGATAGGAAGAGGTGGACTAATTGAATGGGCCTCCTCGATCAACTGACCTATCCATTTTAGAATTTTTTATGCGGTATGGTTAACAATAAGGTTTACAAAATAACTAATGAATTAAGAGAGGCACTCGAAGTGGCGGTACGAGAAAAGTTTAATTAAGTCCTTCTGTGAGAATAGGTAGTAATTCAGTTTTAAAAAGATGCAACTCAAATCAATGGAGGATTTTTTGAACATTTTCTAAAATAACTTAATTTGTATGTAGTGATATTATTTTTTTAAACTTTACGAGTAGTTTGTGTAATGAAAATTGTAAAGAACCGTTCAGTAATATATTCTGGCTTTTTATAAGTTATAAATCATAACAGAATAAAAATACTATGCAATCTATGTGAAATTAGTCAAGAAAGATAAACATTGTCTTTAACTAAATTTAGCTTTCCTAACATGTCTTGAAAACCGTTCTCTAAAAAACGTAACATTCGCCGGTCAACGTATCCTCGAAAATGTATGGTCAAGAAAAGTCGAACCAATAATCCTACACGCTTTTCTTCATTACAAAAATTCATATTTACAATTTTTGTTTATTTTAATTTACAAAGTTTGGATGTGACAGCTTCACATTTATGAGAGCAAAGACGATTAAACTTGTTTCCATGGCTAACTAAGTGAAATTGTTTAAAAATGATAAGAATTGGCTATAACTCAGTAATTTTTCGAAGAAAACATATTATAGCTTATATCCCTCAAAAGCTTAAGAAATGGCGCTTTTTATGAAGTCATGACCAACTATGGTTTCCATTTAAAAAAACATATATTTGTGTCATATGTCAAAAATGACAGGCTTTAGAAAAAAACGGAGGACACAATCTCATTAAGAATGTGATTATCTACAACTTTTATCCGAAAACTTTTTGTCTAAAATAGCTTATAATAGAATTAGTGACAATTTTTAAAATAGCCGAAATTTGTTTTTTTCCAAATATCTAGTAAGCCATGAACTTTTTCAAAAATCCGAAAGGCGCATATTTATGACCCCACAAAACTGCAATTCTTTCCCTATTTAACCGATTCTCTATCTCCAGTAGTTTCCGAGATACCCATAGAGAACATCGTAGGAAACTCACCCTGTATAATAATATAGAGAATGTAAAAAATAATAATAACAGAATAAAAAAATACATCCTCTGGAGTAAAAAAATATTTGAAGAAAATATTATTTTTGTTGTAGGTACTTACATCTCTTGTGTATACGTTTAAGTACAAACAGTCCTCTTTACCGACTGTAGTGTTCTTCGTGTCATCATACTGAAGACATGCACTGCCTTCCACAGTTGCATTTCGGACACCATCCCAAGAAGAAGGGGGTTCACTAACCTAAGAAAATCAACTGGAATCAGATTTTTAAAGCTGCAGTTTTATTATAAAGTTTAAATTATAAAACTTTAAAAATTATTAAAAATAAAATTTTAGACTCTGTACAAGATCTAATGTTATTTTTATTATTGCAACATAAAATTTAGTAAATAGAGAAACCTCAATACAATGTTTGGTTTTAAAAACTTAAATACACCTAAAAAATGAAGCATTAAACTGTTACTGCATTTTCACAAAATTGTAAATATTTCAAAGACGGTAGGATTAAAGTGCGATAAACCTTAATCAAATGTACCTTTATTTTACTATATATATATAAACGGGATTTGATTTAAGTATATAATACTTATTTCCAACTACAGCCTATTGCTGCCTTCCCGTTACCCTACGCCACACATTTCGATTTAGAGCGTCATCAGCTTCTAGGTTACGAGCTTCCATTGCTTCCGTAACCGTTCCGTTCCAGGATTTTCTAGGTCTACCTCTCTTTCTTCTGCCCTGGGGAGCCCATTGAAAACCTCTTTTTGGCCACCTGTTCTCCGGCATACGCAGAACATGTCCAAACCATTTTAAGCTGGATTTTTCGATTCGATCCAGTACTGTCTCCTCCGATGCATTCATGATACGCCTGACCTCGATGTTTGTCTTTTTTTCCATCCTAGATATACCTGCACTTCTTCTAAGGTAGTCCATTTCAACAACTTGGATTTTGCGCTTCGCGTCTGCACTCAGAGTCCACAGCTCTGAACCATAGCAAAGAACTGGCTCCACCAATGTTCTTCCAAGTCTCTTTTTAGTTGTTGCAGATAAGTTTCGGTCCAATAACTTGTTTGCTCTTCTGAATTCGGGTTTGTATTTCTTCTTTGCCCAAACCCTCGTTGTTGATAGTAGCACCCAGGTATTTAAATTTGTCTACTTGTTGAATCTGGACGTTACCATTAATGAAGACTTCAAAACAAGCGTTGGAATTGACAGCTATGTATTTGGTCTCTTTAGACTAACCTGAAGTCCCCATTTGTTGTATTCTTGATAAAGTCTCTTAGTCATGAACTCTAGATCGTATGAGTCCTGCGCAATCACGACCTGATCGTCTGCAAAGTTCAGGGTAAATAGTGTGTTGTCCCCAATGGGTATTCCCATACCTTGACATTTCGTCTTCCATTCCCTAAGGGCTACTTCGACGTAAGCGTTGAAGATCAGAGGAGATAAGCTGCATCCTTGTCGCAACCCTTTTGTGGTGTTAATTGGATTAGATAGCCTGTGTCCTATCTTAACGTACGATTCATTTTCTTTATATAGCTCTTTTATTATCTTAAGCAAAGGTCTATCTACTTCTAAGATATTCAATACTTCCCATATCTTGCTGCGGCGAATAGAGTCGTACGCTTTCTCCAAATCAATAAATGCTAGATGGACTTCTTGATCTACTGCTATCTTTTTTTTCCATCACCTGCTGGACAAAAAGGTTATCTGTGCAAGATTTCCCCGGTGTGAATCCGCTTTGGTCTTCCGAGGTTTTGTCACCAATATTGTCCCTGAGCCTATCCTGTAGCACCTTTCCAAAAAGTCTAACGACCGAATTGTTAATGCTTAGGCCTCTATAACAAGTGGGGTCGTTACGATTTCCCTTTTTAAAGATGGACACTATGTGAGCCACTCGCCATTCTCGGGGTAGTTTACTTTGCAGGCAGCACTGGTTAAATAGCTCTGCCAGACGCCAGCGCAGTCTTTGGGTTCCACACTTTAACAATTCGGCTACAATATTACCAGGACCTGGTGACCGTCCATTTTTCATTCTTTTGAAACTTTGATGTACTTCTCTTTTGCTTATCATTAAAGTGCCTGCAAGGTTGTTCTCATCTTCTACTGCTCGGAATTCTGGTCGGTTTTCTGTCAGTAATTCTGCATAGTAGTTGCGCCATTTTTCTATATCCATTCTATTCAAGAGCTTGTCCGTTTGATTGGTTTTCATTTGTCGGATTGTTCTCCATACCTCAGTACTCCGTGCGCCCCCTATTAGGCTTTCCACTTGCTGGCACCTTCTTTCCCAAATATCTGTTTTTCCTACCTTAATGGCGGCTCGTACCTCTCTATTTTTTTGCTTGTAATGACTCCAGTTAGTATCTGTTCGGTCTGAGAGCCATCTTTGATAGAATTTTTGTTTGTCATTGATTAAGGCCTTTATGCTGTCAGTTATCCAAGCTGGTTCTTCTCTGCTTTATTTTACTAAATATGTAATAATATACAGGGCGTTCCATTTAAAAAAATACAAATTTGATATTTTTATTTATTAAGAACACTCTGTACCTTTTGGAAATAATTTTAAATTGTAGCTTTAGTAGTCCTCCAAAGATCTTACTACTCACCATTTCTAAAAATCCAATCATTTGGCTACAATACTTCATATTGAATCAGGTGAACAACCCTGTATAACATTTTACCAACCCTTTTAAAAGAAATTGAATGTTTTTTTGGGCTTAAAAAAGGGGTATGCAAATAGATGGTTGATCAAGGTACAGATTTGTTCAATGACAAGATAGTAGATCTCCATAACCAAACCAAGTCCAAAATAATCAAGATATTTTACTTTGAAGATTTCCAGAAAATTGATTTCTTTCTTGAAATTTAATCTACTACCTATGTTGCCATATTATGGAAATATTGTGTTTTTTTTAATTAAAAATTAAAAAAAAATCAAAAAATTCCAAGTTTTCACATTTTTTTACGAAAAAAACCTCATAGACGTGTTTCTGGGGTCAAAATATACTACCTTAAAAATAATATACTTATTTATGACTCACCCTGTATATTGTTTATTATTATTTTCCTTTCCACATAAAGTAATTTTGTGATAATTCTTTCAGAGTTTAAAATACTTATTTACTTGACTTACCTTAAATCTTCTTGGTCCTACTGGTGGTTTCGCGTAGGGTATGCCCGTAAAACTGTAAAATTTATTCCCATCCTGGTCATTTTTGATCAAACCTCGTAGAGATCCCTGGGCAACAGTTACAAGAGGCTCTCTTTGCGATACTGCATTATTAATTAAAGTTAATGTACTGATTAATAAATAAAGAAAACAGTTTACTACATCCATGTTTACCCGGCAATAACAATAACAATTATCATCAACTATGTTTACTGTATTTATATAAAGATATGTGTATTATCTGATAAAAAAAATTCACAACAAAAACAAAACTTAAAACTAAATATAGTGTGGCTCAAATATTATATATATTGTATAAAGTGGTTTACTTACATGCATTCTTATATCAGTTTATGATAAACATATATACTTAGGTCATCCTGTAACCTAGAATAGCCAGCCATGAAAAACCCATTTCACATAATTTCTTAAAATTTATTTGTATTCACGAAAGGTTGTTGCTATCATTGGACTTTTTATGTTTATGGCGAATTCTCAGTATGTATTTAGCGATGTTGCAATGGAACAAAACATCTGTATTAGTTTAAACGGACAAAATCAAATAAATTTACTTAACAACAGAGGAATTATTTATTATTTGTTTTTACGCTATCAGCGCAAAATATTTTAATTATATCATAATGTGTATAAAGCGTCCCAATTAAATTGAATAAAGTCTGGATATATTGTCACTTAAACAGGAATCTCCAAAAAAAATCCTTTATGGGTATTTCGCCACTGCACTGCAAGAAAAACTACAAAATAAAATAGTATTATTATTTTTTGTAAACACTTCTGCGTTAAACCTAAACGGACGCTGCTTGTCAGAAGTTATGTTTACAGTTTTAAAAATATGCCCAACAAAGAAAAAAAAATGCTTAACGTTCCGGAAAGTTTATCTCTTTCCGTCGTCTGAAGCAAAAAAATACAAAGGATAAAGAAAAAAACTATTTAAAATATTTAAATTGGACTATTCGAGAACACTTTACTTTTTAAAATAGATACGTCTACAAGAAGACGTCAACGGTTTCTTAAAAAAAAATAAACTTTGATGTGCCACGACTTTATGACAGACCCTAACTTGACAGAACCTAATTAAATTTATATAATCTCCTAGCTGGGAGATCCTGCACTAATAGTGTATTCTGTTTGAAATTTCTCATAGAAAAGAAAATAGCTATAAATGAAGATACACACCTAATGTTTGTCGATCACCAGAAAGCTTACGACAGCGTCCCTATTGCCAAACTGTGGGAATCTCTTATAACAGCAATACAAAAGATATATAAAAATTCTTGTCCCTCAATAAAAACTGGAAATAAAATATCAAAAGGATTAAGATAAGAGTATTGCCTGTCACCAACTTTATTTAAAATATACGTCAACCAAGTTTTAAAGCAGTGGAAAAATAGGTGTAGAGGCATGGGCATACCAATAAGTGAAGATTCTTGCTTATACACTTTGCAATTCGCTGACGACCAGATTATTTGTGCAGGAGACAAAGATGACTTGGAATATATCACACGAAAACTTAAAGAGGAATACCAATACATTTCACAAAATTACTGAGTTACAGCCAAATCTTATGCATTATGTACTCAAAACAATGGTGGATTTTTTGAACATATTCCAAAATATCTTCAAGTGTATGTAGTGATATTAATTTTTTAAGTTTTAGTTTGTGTAATGTAAATTGTAAAGAGCCGTTTAATAATATATTTTGCCTTTTTATAAATTATAAATCATAACAAAATAAGAACACCATGCCAACTAAGTGAAATTAGTCAAGAAAGATAAGAATTGGCCATACCTCAGTAATTTTTCGAAAAAAAAATATCGCTGAAAAGTTTAAAAAATGGCGCTTTTTATGAAGTCATGACCAACTATGGTTTCCATTAAAAAAAAACATATGTTTGTGTGATATGTCAAAAATGACGGGCTTTAAAAAAATCGGAAAATACAAAAATTAGGGATGTGATTATTTACAACTGTTCGTCTAAAATAGATTATAATGGCATTAGGGACAATTTTTAAAATAGTCAAAATTTGTTTTTTTCGAAATATCTAGTAAGCCATGAACTTTTTCAAAAATCTGAAAGGCGCATATTTATGGCCTCACAAAACTGCAATTCTTTCCCCATTTAACCAACTCTCTATCTCCAGTAGTTTCCGAGATTCCAGAAGTTCCATAGAGAACATCGTTTGAAACTCACCAAAAAATCAATCAGTTATCAGACAAGCAATAAACACATAATTCAAATCAACAATACCTTTGAAATGGATATCCTTAGATAAGGTGTGTGTGTTGCTATTTTAGGCGCTTTTATTAACTATTGTGTAAAATATTTGTTAAATTTTATTATGCTTTATTTTTAGTTCTTACAGCAATATATTGGATATTGGAATATTTGTTCAAAGAAAATTTGGGGTCCGATGAACTATACAATTTTTGCTTTCTTTTTGATCAAACGACGATTCAATTGAACGAACCGAATTGTAAACAATGAATTAATTTTCACGATTCTTTGAACGTCAAACCGTAGAAACGAAGGAGTCGCTTTGTGATCCGATTCAATTCTTACTACTCTTTTTTACCACTCATTCGTTGAAATTTTATGGATCCGTGCTGCATGGCCACGATTCATTTGAACGAACCTATTCTAAAGCGGTGAATCAAATCTCACGATTCATTTTTAATACTCGTTCAGGTGAACGACTCGTTCAATCTTTGCCCACCTCTAGTAGTAACATTTTATGAACTTGATTCATAAACAGGTTTTTATAAAAAATAACAATTTTTCTATTTAAATAATCTACTTTTCCAATGGCGAAAACGTTATACCTGTTCATCGATCACACGAAAACTTAAAGAGGAATACCAAGTTTGGGGACTGGAGATGAATATCACAAAAACTAAATATCTCTGCATTGGATCGGATCAAAGACGACAACGAAATAAGCTCGAGAATATTCAAGGCCAGAAATGCAATAAAATGTGTGAATTATATACTCTGGAGTAACAAAATAAGTAAAGACAGAAAACTAGGATTTATGATGGGATAATCAAGAGCAATCTGTTATTTTGGGCGGAAACATTGGGAGGTTAACGGAGAATAACAACAGAAAATTACTGGCGGTAGAAATGGACGCGATAAGGAGAATCAGCACGAACAATCAGCACGAACATCAAGGATAGAGTACAAAACGAGATAATCAGGGACAAAATGGGTAGACGGAAAACTATAGCAGGGGAAATAAAAAGTGCCCAACTGAAGTGGTATGGACATGTAAGAAGGATGGACAACTCGCGACTGCCTGAGAAGGTAAAAAACCGTCTAGCCTTTTGTTTTCCTTCTCTTTTGTTGAAGCCTAAACTGGCTTCCACAAAAGAGAAGGACACGGGGAAGACCAAGGACAAACTGGATGGAGGGTGTCAAGAAGGCGATGAGCTCAAGGGATCTGCGTGACGAAGACTGGAATGAAGAAAACCAATGGCGACTAGGCATCACACAACGTCGGATAACGTTTTAAAAGCTATTTATATATATTATATATATATAATATATATATATATATATATATATATATATATATATATATATATATATATATATATATATGTATATATAACTTTTGTATTTAACTTTTTGCGGTAACTTGTATATTTTACTTAATACTCGACCGTTCCCATACGTATCAGCGAATCTATATACTAAATAAAATAATTAGTGAGCGAAGAAATTCCAAGAATTATAAGTATCATATTAAAACCGTCAGACTCTTGGTAAGACTAACTATATAACTCTGAGACTAACTGAGACTATATTTAAGACTGCTCGCGCTTTCTTTAATATCCCACTTGTCTAGAACGGCATGCAAATTTGAAAAAGTATAAAATGGGATTAACAATTTTAGCAGAAGCAACTTTTTTATAAAAAATGCGTTTTATTCAAAATGTTCATAATGAAAATGTTTTTTTTTCTTGTAACGACCATCCAGAAATATACTGTATACATACAAAATTGTCAATTAGTATTGCATGTCTGTCTCTGCAATGTTAATACTTTTATTCCACTGCGGACTACTGAATGGTTTTTAACAATAAGTAATAAATTTTCGTTTCTAAATATAAACGGTTTAAATGAACATAATCGCGAAACACATAAACTCGACTGATAATATTTAAAATAACCGTCTGCCTTCGGAAAATTAATCATATTTGGTGATATTTGCATATTAAGCCCCTCATATATAAGCCGATTTCATACTACTGCATATATATAGAAACAGCTTGATAAATAATATTTCTATTATGTTTTACATTCACATCTGATTTAAAGCTGATTAAATAATATTCTGATTTTATATTTTAACTAAGAAAATAATGTTAGTTAAATAAAACAAAATTATATATGATCTTCGTTATTAGATTGATTACTCTGGTCTTTGTCTTGCAAAAAAAAAGGAAGGCCAAGACTTATAAGTGTTTTAAATTGAAAAATAATAAAAATATATCAGACAAATATTGTTTCTCTCTATTTATTTATTGATATTCTATATTTCATATCAATTAAAGTTTTAGTTACGTAATTGATTGGTGCCAACCATGGATATATTCGGCGCCGGGCTGACTAACTTGAATTTAAATTTCGCGCTGGGGATTTAGGTGGAAGCTCTGCTGTAAAAAAATGTCAAGGTGCCGCATTTATTTTTTTTATTTCCTGATATTGTCATTCGTTTTGACACTTTAGTTTTCTATTAAATAAATAGTGTTGTGATGTTGTGATACTTTATAAGCTTAAAAAATGTTTACTAGCAGACCTTGCAGTCGAACATTGTTCTTTTTAGAACCTCTTTTAGTGCGAAGTGTACAAGAATAGCCGTAAAAAACTCATCGCAACTTTATTAGAATATTTTGAACGGGCAAACTGTAGTACGAAGCGGTGTTAAGAAGACAGGCGAGTTTTGTTGATGTAAATAATAACTGTTTATAGCTAACAGCGAAAAAGAACTGAAAAGAAATTTAGAAATCTAGCTGGAAGCTCTTGGAGAGAGAAATCTAAAAATCAATGAGATTATAACAAAAGTTATGATTTTAGGTAAAACATAAGTCAATATGAATATAGAGATATATGCAGGGCCGGATCTACCTAAGGGCTGTTTGGGCTGCAGCCCAGGGCCCCGAGGTTGCAAGG